TCAAGTGATCAAAATCCAGAAAACTGAATACTCTAATTCTAGAAAATTATATAGTCAGCTCCCGGGAGCAAGGTGCATACAAAACAACACCTATAACAACAATACAACAATATGTACACTAAAGTGGAAAAATTTTCTCCTACTTTATCATTTGTTCATTCTACTGAAATTACATTCTCTAATGCCATAATGTACTAAAATTTCTGTATAATACGAATTATATAATAGTTCAGTTTTTTTTTTGGCCAACCTGATAAACATAAACAGAAGACGCATTCATGAGTATCCAATAGCCGATCTATTTAAACAGTTTCAGTTGCCTGGATTGTCTGAAATTATATACCCCCAGTAGTGGACAATTTGCTCAATGGAGCACTTAATCTAAATGTATGTACGGACATTTATCTGGACTCCACTGAGCGAATGATATTACCCGTCTCAGTTTTGCAAATCGAAGCGCTTTCTAGTTTTCATTATTGTTCTATAAATGCAAAAAAAATGGGGATTATTCAAGGCGTAGAAGGATATACTCTATTTGGGAAAACAAGTTTTAAGTTTTCAGAGGAAAACATTTTTTTAAAGATTTTTAAAGGGTAAAGAAAATGTTAAGAAAATGAATGAAATTAAGAAAATGTCTATTAATATACTATGAATATGAATATACGATGAATGAATATATGTGATATATATTTTTAAATAAAAATACGAAAACAAATTATTTTGAATGATTTTTTTCATATTTGAAAAATAAATACAAAAAATTAGATTTTTTTGCCACAATTAAATTAAATAAATTAATAAGCTCAAGCTTTCTCTAAAAAAGTTAAAAGTTCTCCGATTACAAATTCACAAAAAAATTCATTGCTGACCAAAATGACAATACCCGATTATTTGGTAAGAGCATAAAAAGAGGCTCGCTGTCATGATTTTAGCTTTAGCCCCCATCCACACAGATGTATGTAGGAAAACAATGAGTGTATTGGAAAAATGAAATAAAATTAAATGCTAGGCAAACAACGACCGACAAAGTGATTATATAAAAACCGTTACCAGCCAAAGCTTCGGGCAAAAATAATGTATAAAAAAAATCACAAAAAAAATAAATATAAAAAAAGAAACAGATGGAAAGAACGAGAAAAAGAAAAGCAGAATATAATACTAAAGAACGATTTCGATTTATCAGCAAAAAATAAAAAAAAAAAAAAAAGTCCAAATGGTAGAAAAAAGAGCGTTTTTATCTCGCTCCTCAATTGATTTACATAATCAACGAAATCGCTTTTAACCACCACTGTTGCTCCCTCCCTCCCCCTCCAATTGGCCACGCCCCCGGACGACCCTTGAACCCCCAACGCCCCCAAAACACAGAAACCCCTTTTGGCCTCCATGATGGACTTCATGTGCCTTGTTCTCTGTGCATTTAATTAAATGCTGATTAAGTTTTATTCAATGGAGCAAAATGTACACACACACATGATGAATAGTAGGAGATATAATATAGTAGTACAATGGATCAGGAATATACAATGAAATATACCTAAATACTATATATAGATAGATAGGCACACTGTAGTATGGGAATGGGGTTGTGCATAAATTTGTAGATTAGTCATTGATATTGGACAACGTGTTCGATTCAACTCCAATCGATTCGTTTCAAATCGAATCGAAACTAATCGACCCGTCGCGTTTGTAAACGTGAATAATTTAATAACGTCCTCATTAAGATAATGAAATTAGTTCAAATAGTCGCCAGTTTGGTCAGATAATACAGCTGTCTGATTAGAGTGGGTCTCTGTGTATGAAAATCAACATATAGGCACTCTATTCATTACTGATATCAGAGTTATATAAGCTAAGAGAGTAGAAGCTTTGCAGAAATTTAAGGCTTTTGCTAAAGGCATTAAAATTATAATTAAAAATATACCTTAAACCTAAAAAATCCAATCATAACTCCAACTTTGAACTTTAAATATCACACATGAGTCACAAAAATACAAAAAAACTTTGAATTAGCATTATGACTAAATCAAAAATGTTAATAAAAATATTTCCAAAACAATATAAAACTGGATTCTCATTCACACACTTAATTCAAAATTAAAAAAAAATTCAGACTTTAAAATACAGTTGAAAAACGGAAACGTAAATCAAGAGTATTTAATTATGGAAGTGTCTGTCCGAGATGTAATACAAATTAATTTTGATATTTTAAGAGGATGCCAATTATAGAATAAATTAGCCAACCAGTGACACATGTAAATTATAAAGGTAGATAGTATTTGTAAATATATATATATACGAAATAAAGTTGGCAAAATTCGATTTGCATATTAAACCAGTTTCAGGCAAAATGAGAAGATAAATATTGTATCTCCTGTGCCGGAGCGTGTGAACCGAACTTTGTCAATGAACTAGAAAAACTTTTGGATGCGACTTGAGAATATTTCACTTCTCCTCTATAAACTGTAAGTAACTGAAAAGCTTAACTATATATACAAAAGAGTAAAGAAAAGATATATTTGTATAAAAGAAACCATAGAGACCTGAAGATAGATAAAGATGGAGGAGGACACCAACCACCACACCACACCACACCAGCTGGGGCAATAAATCAGTGGAAAAATTGTTGCTGAAGGAGGAAAAGTTGGCGAAGCGAACAGAAGGTGGGAAAACTGTTGAATTATTTCCCAGGGCTCTAAAACCCAGATACCCCTGGAATCCGGACACCATCATCGGCTGGCACACGCATACGTACGCACACGCTGGGGAAAATTTGTTACATTTTCACACTCTAAGCCAAAGCCGACAACAATAAACTGCCAAATTCGCATAAAATATTTTTGGTAGGAATTAAAACAGAAGCATATCGAATTCACCCACGGCCATCAGCCTGAGTCAGTGCCGGTGCCTGCTAATAAAGGTTCTCTATAGGTTTTAGAGATCCGTAGATGAAACCTCAAGAAACCCATAAATTTTGCTGAGAAAATCGGAAAAAATCTCCCAAGGAAAACAAAAATAGAAAATGTGTCAATGCAAACAACAACAAGGTATCAGCCCTATGCACCTTTTTTGTTGTTGTTATTATTATTGTTATTGTTAGCCATGGATCGTGGACCATGGACCGGCCAAGTGAATCTGGGCCATAAAAGTGCAAAATGTTTTCCACACGGCTGGACCCTGATTCTACCTCAACGTACTCCCACTCAAAGGCACCTTTTGCTTTCCTTTCCCTTTCCAGAAATCTCCGCTCGTTCCCACCACATGCGATGCACTCGTTATAAGAACAACACTGAGAGAAATTAGCTAGAAAGATTATAAAGAAATTTTAGAAAAAGGAAGTGAAATATTTCTATAATTATTGAATTTTATGAGATAATTTTTATAGATTTTTTCAAACCTCTCTGATCTATAACATGTTCTATTATAATTTCTTTAAGAAACTATTTTTTTTTTCAGTGTCTTCTAGACCGGACCCGGCACCGGCTGACACTTGGACATGGGAAGCGGTCCGGGGGCGGCCAAAATCGATTTCTGCTCTACCTACCTGCCCTACCAGCCCAACCCAGCCCATACCAGGTGAGACATCTACAGTGGATGTGTCTCCGGGCCGGGTCTCAGAGTAGTCGGGTGTTACCTGTTAGCCCGGCTAATGGCCAGCAGACCGCGCGACCAACATAAATCCATAAAAACATGAAAAGGGAAACGAGCGAGAGAAAATAATTAAATTGCAATTATGTGCAAACAATTCCAAATCCGGACGATTCGGAAAAAGTTAATTACACGACAATAAAGCGCAGAAGACCATTCTCAACGGGAATGGTTATATACACGGAGGTTATACACCGGTATATGTATGTAAGTGTGTAAGACTGGTTGTGTGTTTCTTACCTGCCCACACCAACTTGCCACATCCACTGGCGGCACATCCGCAGGTTGCCGCAGCCGCTGATTGGCTTTGGTTTTTGGTTTTGGCTTGGACTCACTTGGTCTGACTTGAGCTGACATTAATGGGTATTTGAATGCGGCTTCTGGGCTCTCCTCTGGTCTTAATCGGATCCCCGGCTGACTGACTGACTGACTGGCTAGCTGGCTGACTGACTGATGTCCAGTGACATGTCGTTACTATATCGTTAGTGTGCTGTCTCTATGGGCCTTGACTGCGGATGATCGCAATTTCGCGACCCCTTCAGTATTTCTTCAATCTTGTGTATTGTATCTTGTATCTTGAATCTCGTGCGGTCTCAGTTCTCAGTTCCCCTAATGAAGACAGACAGACAGATTAGTTATGGTCTTATAATAAATTAGTCCGATCCAATTGTCGGGGCAGTCTTCGAAGTAGTAATGACACTACGAATCCAAATCGGAACTTCTACTTTCGCCATAGATCTCAATTAGTTGGGATCGGCTACTAAATCGAAATTAATGAGGGCTAATTGATGTTACAGATATTTTACATATTTTTTTAGATTTTTGAGAGGGGTTACTAAGATGGATGGTGCTTCAAGATCTCTAGATTTTTAATAAGATATTGATGTAATATTCCTGGATGAAAATATATAAAGAAAAATACCTATGTTTCTTGAAACTATAATATAAACCAAACCCCATTCTGACCCCTTCATCTTAAGGTTAACACCCAAAAATTTGATGAACACCTCTGACAATCTCATTTAGGAATATGCCTTTCATCACCCAAATTAACCAAAAGAATTAAAAGAAAAGGGATATCCTTTAACCTTGGACACATTACCTGGTTAAACTTATTTCCCTTCGGGCCGAAAAACTTTAATTAGATAACCCCTGTACGGCGGAAAGTTTAAATGCGAGTAAATCAGGTCGACCGGCCCCGATGACTGACTGACAGTCCGGGGCCTACCAGAGCCCAGAGTTCACGGAGTTCGGACAAGTTTAATTAGATCTGCATACGCAATGAGTGGTGGAGCTCGAGGGTTGGAGGACCCGAGGGGGGGCTAAGGATTCAAGGATACGAGGGTTTTGGTGTACCCGGTAAACAGGTTAACGAACTGCCCGCCAGTTTGTGTTCGCTGGCGAAAGGATGCGCTGCTTTTTGATTGTCCTGGCTGGGACCTGTGTGTCCCTATCGTTGGCATCGCGCCTCTCCCCAAGCCTCCCACTCGAAGGATATGAGATGCACCTGAAACAATTACTCCAGAAGATCCTTTGGGCGGCGAATGTAAAGCGTTGTTTTGGAGTCATCACCGATGATCTGCATTATCCGATCTATGATAGGAATTTCTTTCAATCGGTGGGTCGTCAAGTAGTGCCCTTTTTCGTAATGCGATTAAATGCCAGCGAGGATCTTCTGAAGCCTCCAAGGCAAGTGGAACTCGTCCTGAAAGCCATCAAGTCCAGTGATTGTGAAGTGTACTTTATGACATTATTAAATGGCTGGCAAGTGCAGAGATTTCTGAGATATATCTATAGCACCAGATCCTTAAACATGCAGAAAAAGTTGATCCTTTTGCACGATTCTCGACTATTTGAAAGGGATATGATTCATCTATGGAGTGTTTTTGTGGGAACTATATTTCTTAAATATCAAATGGATAACAGGTGAGTCTAGGGTTCCTTTATGCTTTTAATTTAATAAGAAATATTGACTTTTTTAGAATTACTATTTCCACAATTGCATTTCCTGGAATTTTAAGTGGTGTTTTGGTTACAAAGAACCTGGCCAATTGGGAGTCGGGAAAAAGTATCAATGGAAAGGTATTATTTGAAGATAAAACAAAGGATCTACAAGGTGAGTGAGATGAGATTTTAAAAGAGGAATAATCTTAACCATAAACTATTCGTAGGATCTCCCATTCCCGTGGCCATATCTGAACATGTCCCCATGGTCCAGTGGATTAATACCACAAGTAGCTATCACGGCGTTGAAATAGAGATTATAGATTCTCTCGGTAAAGCCCTTAACTTTCAACCCATCTACTATAAACCCAACAAAAGCGAAGAAACCAATTGGGATCTGGAGGATATTTACGAGAACGATGCCCAGACTGGAGAAAACGAAACTCAAATAGATTCCAAACTAATTGAAGAGGTGGTAAGTGCAGATTATTAACTAAATTAATTATAAAACAATCTTGATAAATATTTATAGAATTTTTTATAATTTTTAACACCACAGGCCCAACACAATGCCCGTTTCGCCATCGGGGACTTGCATTTTTTTCAGGCTTATTTGTCATTTGTGGAGCTCAGTTTGCCGCATAATTTCGAGTGCCTGACCTTTCTCACCCCGGAATCCTCCACGGACAACTCCTGGCAGACCTTTATCCTGCCATTCAGTGGCGCCATGTGGACAGGTGTCCTTTTATCCTTGTTCATAGTGGGCACTGTGTTTTATGCCATCAGTTATCTTAATGCAATCCTAACCAGAACAGGTTCTACTGGATTCTTTCGCTGGTTTCGAAGGAATCGGGAGATACCTATGGATCCAACAATCTTCAAGAGAGTCAGCTTTCGTATTGCCATCAGCCGGTATCGTCCAGTTAAGGGATCTCATAGTTTTCGGGATATTTTCGATGATTATTCCAATTGTATATTGTTGACATATAGTATGCTTTTGTATGTGGCCTTGCCGAGAATGCCACGAAATTGGCCCTTGAGGGTCCTGACAGGATGGTATTGGATCTACTGCATCCTCTTGGTGGCCACCTATAGGGCCAGTTTTACGGCCATTTTGGCCAACCCAGCAGCAAGGTTAGTTATAGAGAGTATTTTATATTTTTATTATTTTTAAAACATTTATTTTTAGAGTCACTATTGATTCCCTGGAAGACCTTCTTCACTCCCATATCCCTCCATCTGCTGGAGCTTCGGAGAATAAACAATTTTTTTTGGATGCTATTGACGAAGTTGCTCAAAAGATTGGCCAAAAAATGGAAGTTATAACCCAAAACGATGACTTGGTACGTCATTCTCAAAATATATTCATTCTTTAAAAAATCCCAAAATAATCTCCAGAGACTTGGAACTAACAATTGTTGACATTTCCTTTTAAAAAACAACCCCTTGGGATGTTAAATAATTTCCAAGTACAAAACAAAAACACGTACATTTATCGATTTATGAACCATAAATTAAAATTTATATTTTATATGTTCACTTCCAGCAAAAACAAAATTATCAGATAAGAATGACTAAAGCTTTTAATTGTCTAAAATGGGTCGCTTTGGTCTACTACATTTAACTTCTTATCAAAGTTAGTAGCAATGAACTTTATACCATACCGTAATTGGCAAAAACAAAAACCGGTTCTAACTAGTTAGTAGGTCTACTAAAAAAACAAAATATCTTATCATTTTGATAAGTTTGTTTGGAAATCTTTTATTGTATTTAAAAAATGGTATTTTGGTTGTCTATCAAATTTTGAAAAATATTAAGAAACTAAAAGCGATCTTGGCATTAATTTTAATAAACATTCCTATATATCCCTAGACCTCTCTAGTCCTAGAACTTGGAATTCATTTTAATAAATATCTTTAATATCTCTAGACCTCTCGCATTGCCAATGGACACAGTGCCTACTATGACAACGAATTTTATTTGCGATATTTACGGGTGGCCGATGAATCCGGCGGAGTGGGTTCCGCCCTTCATATTATGAGGGATTGTGTGGTTTTTATGCCCGTTGTCCTGGCCATGGAGAAAAATTCGGCTCTTAAACAAAGAGTCGACAGTTCAATACAACACCTAGCCGAGGGTGGTAGGTTTTTATAAACAGTTTTTTTATAAATTAATATTTTTTAAAAATAATTGTAATCTATAGGTCTTATTGCCAAATGGTTAAAGGATGCCATTCAGAGGCTACCGGCTGAAGCTCCAGCCCAGCAGGAGGCTCTCATGAATCTGCAGAAATTCTGGAGCTCCTTTGTGGCTTTGGGCCTGGGCTATGTGGTATCCATATTGGCCTTATTGGCAGAACGCTGGCACTTTCAACACTTTATCATGAAACATCCCATGTATGATGTCTACAATCCAGGATTATATTATAAATTCAAACGCCTCTATCCAGAACAATAAAATATCTGCAAAAATCTCACACAATATACATATATCACACACAATTCTTTGGTATTTATATTTCTTCACAAACATATCTTGTATTTATAATTGACGGCAACAAATGACAAATGTATCTGGTACTTGGAAACTGAATGGCAATCGAGAAGCTGAAAAGTCTTCACTGACGCACTAAAGGAAAAAAAAAATCCGAGAGAATCCAAGAAAAGCAGCCGCCTCCAGAGGATTGGGACCTTGGAGCAGATGGTGGGATGGGCCATCGCCATGGATATGAATATGGATGTGGATATGAATATAGTGGCATTTATCATTCCGGCTCCAAGTGGCCTCAAGTACCAGTGGCAATGTGGTGAATAAATTCCAAGAGCTACGGATTCCTTCAATCACTTTTCGTAAATACTGATTTGCATTGTTTATGAGTTAATGCACATTAGGCATTATTTGTTTATGGCCACAATCACAAATCCTGGGAAAAACTCAAAATGATAAAAGCCCATAAATAAAATCATTTTTAAGTGCCAGCCCCAAAACCCAAACATACAATCAAAAAGTGCCCAAACATTTCTAAATATGAAAATCAAATTCCCCCTCGAGTTTCCACCTAAAGATATGTACATATATCTATATACATATATATAGTTCGGGGCCTTAGGGGTCTTCAAGGGGCACTTCAGCAATCCAGAAATGAGGATGAAAATTTTTGAATTGAATTTGGAATGTATAGAGGTAGCCAGAAACCAGACGTGCCAAATAATAAACAAGCCAAAGGTTAATAACAATTATCATAATGAATAGGATTTTTTTTTTAATGTCTCTATAAAGATATATGTGGTTCCCCAAATAAAGTTCAAAGCTAGACAAAGTTACCAGCTGAATTTTAATATTCAAGTCTTTTTGTTGCATCTTTTTTAAGATATTAATTCAGTTATTTTCCAGTTTTTTTTAGCTAAAAAAATTGGAATTTATTTATTAGTCACAAAGATTTAAATTCATTTATTCACGGATATTGAATCTGGAATTTTTCCGCTACGAAATTGCTTCGTTTTATTTGTTTACTTTTTAAATAGAAATATTTATGGGTATTTTATTTATTTTGTTTTAGCAAAAGTTTGTTTACATTTTGTATTTCATATAATTTAATTAGTTTTACTTCATTTTATTGTTTCTTTTTTTCAACAACCCACTCAGGTTGCCGGTTCTGTGTGGATCCGTCATGGTTCTGGGGGGTTCCAGGGAGATCTATTTTGTACCAGGAAAATTCTTGTTTTTCACACTTGCTATCCTTTAGATACGAGGGTATCTAGAGCTGGTAAGTTGTCTTAAAAAATTTAATATTTAAAGAAAGAAGGCCATTGAAATAAAATTTAAAATATAAATAAAATATATATTTTTTTATCTTTTTTTTAAACAAAAATCTAAAGTATTTAGTTTAAGTACAATTCCATTTGTTAAAGCATCACTTCCTCGATTTGTTTACTTTGTTTTTTTTGCGCTTTCAGTTTTACAGAAAATCTAATTGACGTTTCCTTTTTATCCCCCCAACACCCCTCCACAGCAACACAGCTCACATTCCTGAATGTAGCAATATTGTTTTGTTTTTGTTTTGTAATTAAAATTCAAATATTGTTTATCTTAGAGTTTTGCATTTTACAAATTCCACTTTCATACTTTGTTTACTTTGATTAAAAATATATTCGGTCTGCATTATTGTGTAATTTGGAATATATTTCAGATAAGAGAGAGAAATTATGATTAATAATTTCTGTGTATATGGATATATAGTCTCCATGATAAGTCATTCTTTATAAAAAGAATAATCCCATTTGGATTTGTGAGAGTCCATTGAACCTCCTATAGATGATTTTAATCAAAACAACGATTTATTTATTTTTTTTTTTCAAATTTCTATTTATTTTCTCTTTGTTTATTTTTGTTTATCTAAAATTATTGGCAAAATAAAATAACAAGAAATAGGATACACGGAAAACAATTTTATCATCTCTTAAAATATACAAATTTTAAAATGTTTGTTTATAGACGGCTGTTGTTTAGTTTTGACTTGCATTATAATTATTTTCTTTAAAATATATATATATTTTTAGGCTGTAAACTATAATTGTTAAAACCTGGCAACTGCTCCTGAATACTCTTGTTGGACATTTTGGAAAAAAGTCTTTGTTCTTTTAGTATATTGTCTATTGATTAGGTTGGCTTGGGCATTTTCAGAGTTTCTAAATAAAATAGCAGTGTATGTATGTGAGGATTTAAAAAACCTACTTAAATGAACCCAAATCCAGGGAGCAGTTGCTAAATATGGACACCGACACCAGCACTATATGATATTTGTGTGTTTGTTCTGCTTCAAAGGAGAAATACTTTAACAATTTAGTTGATTTTAAAAGCGAATACCACATATGCTCCATTTATGTATATAATATCCATTATAAACTAAGCGTCTGTATAAGAAGTACTCAGCTAGTGTACTGTATGCATTTATATAAAACTAGATCATATCGTAATTGTTTATGTAAGCTATAATCCTTCCCTCGATATATGTATATAAAAACCTACCGACATGACTACAAATTCTTATCGAAAACAAACTAGTTTCATTTCAGCATAAAATCCCGGCATTACCGTCTGTGAATCAAGAAAGGGCATTAGAATTAGCTCATTTTTTACAAAATAATTCAATTCCTTTTGGTCAGTAGTTATTTTTTCTTCCAAATCTTAAAATTATCTTGTCTCGATTGCAGTCTATTTTGCTAGCCCTTTCTGAGTATTATTTCATGCCATTTTTCGCACCATAACCGACAGTGATAGAATTTGTATTTAAAAAAAAAATAAACTCCTATGGCATTTTGAACAAATTATAACTTTTAAATATTTTTTTCTCCACAAAGCAATTCCATTTTATTAGATTATTCGATGATTTTCGGTATTCAAATTATAAACTTCATATAAATTAGACGAATAAGCCGATCTCAGCTTTAACTCTAGTGATGAATCGTTTTCTCATTAAATCAGGGTAAGGTTAGTCCTATTTTGCATTATCCATCGCTAATACAATATGTTATACATATATATAATTATATATATAGAGAGTTATGTATATATCGAATTTGTATATCACTGTTGCTGGTTTTGTGTTATGTTGTTTCACCGACGACCTACTCGACGGCTTGGATCTCAGACTCGCCGGGTTCAGCCTCGAAAACCTCGTCAGACTCCTGGCCCACATAGTCGAGCTCCTCCTCGTCGACATCCGGCTCCGCCTCCTCGTTCTCATCGTAGTCGTCTGGATATTCACCAAACTCGGAGGACTCACCAAGCGTCCAGGCGTCGTTTTCCATGGAGTTTCGGGGACTGTAGCCGATTCCCCCGCCGGTGATAGTCAAGTTGTTGGCCGGGCGCAGCACACTGTATTTAAATAATTACTAATTAGTATATATTTTATAGTTAAGAGAAGATATTAGGATATTTCTATATGCACATATCGCAAATGCAAACAATTTGGATGGTATGTGATGTGTATTTATACTCGATCTCGGGTGAGGTCTAAGAAAGCTTTTAATTGTAGTGTTAGCTTGGTCTACTTGGCTTGTTTTGGGGGGTTAAGTATGTTCTTGGTTAGGTGGATAGATGTGATGTCGGTTAGGTATTTAAACAGGACAAACATTTGTACAATTCTTATAGTAATAGTAAGTAATTATAAAATGTTTGATTAGAAAAGTGGCAGCAACTATACAAGGTAATGAGGCAATTTTGAAAATTTTATTAGTGGTTTTTTAGAGAAAGATTGGTTCTATGAAAGTTAACTTATTATTTTTGAAAGAAACATATATCAGATTAGTAATCTTTCAAAGAAACATCCAATCAATGGTTATAACCACCTCTATTCAATACTCTAATTAATGAGCTACCAATGGCGGGCGGTGTTCTAATGATTTACTTGCATAATGTTAGACTTGATGCAGTTAGTTTCGCAATCTTTGGAGAGCTTTTCATTGCGCGAATGCCAAATGCCAAACAAAATCAAATGAAGCCGCACAAGACAAAGTAACTAACGAACTGACGAACGAACAAATTGGTCGAGACAATTGCACAACAACAATTGCGAACAACAACAAGAAAATGATTGATATTTTGATATGCATATAATGCCTTAACATTATTACTACATTGAGTTGAGATCGGAGGAGAGAACTCGCTATTACATTGGGCAGGTGATATGGCCGGACATCGGGTTGGCACTGTATTCTCGTTGATTATTTTTGGATATCGGTTTTGGATATCGGATACTACGCGAAATAGATCCCTTCTCAAAATGATCGCAGTTCGTTTCGTTTCGATTTGATTTTATATGACACTAGAATTGAATTCTAGTGGCACAATCTCTGGTGGCTGCTTGCATCGTGTTTTGTAATAATATTTCATATTTCTTTTAGATCGTGTGGCATGTGTCGGTAGTGGAAAGTATATATATTTTTATAGCTTTTTATTCGTGGAAAGATAGTCGACTGAATGTTTAGATGTATTTAGGTTGATGGCTCAGAAGTCGGTAACTAATACACCATTCGTTGGTCATAATTGTCCACGGCGGTAGTGGGATCGTGATGGTCTACCGATTAATATTTGGATTGGTTTTCGTGGTTTTGTTGTTGGGTTGTGTTGTTTTGTGTGTTTGTGAGGTTTTAGAAATTAAAAGAGAAGAAATCAATTAGCAAAATCATAAGTACAGAATGCTGGATCATTTACGACTTAATTCCTAATATTCCGATTATGCTTTAGCGGTGTGTTAAGTCGTTTTCTTAGCCAACTACTAATTGAGGTTTTAAATCGATAAGAAAATCAAAAGATTCAACAACTAGGAGTGAGTCATGAGATATAGATTGGAGATTATTGCTAAAATATTGGTCTATTTGTCCAGAACGCACCTTTACCTCTAGCCGCGAAATTACCCATAACCTTAAGCTAATAAAAGAACCAAAATAAAGGTTACAAATCATATTCAGATAATTCGAAAAATATATATCAAATAATTATAGTAAGAACACTAAACTCTTGGATTAACTCTTGGAAAATATTCTAAAGGTATTACTAAATATTATGATTGGATTAGCCACTAGTTGATGTTAAAATACTTTCTTTTAATGAAATGAAAAAGCTTTTTTAATGAAGAATTTTTGTTTATAGATTTAGCTAGAATTTTTAAAGAAGAATTAATATATTTCTTTACTTTCATACCTTTTCATTAAAATTCTTCAATTGAAAAGAGTAATAGTCTGCTAAGAAAGCAAAATTGATTTAAATTTCATTTTGCTTTTTCTTTTAAGGTATTATTTTTAGAGATATTATTTAAACCTGATTTTATTATTGGGGTTTTCTAGTGATATATTCTCCTAAAAATCTAAAGAACCTTTTCTAAAAGGTTTCAGTCCTTTCAATTCTATAAATTTATCTAAAGATTATATTTTAGTTATCTAATTTACCTCTCGAAAGGCACTTCATCGGCCCCTTCATCGTTGATCTGTCGCTGGGTCTGGTTCTGGGCCCGACGAGCCTCCTCTTTCTTGCGCCGATCCTCGGCAGCTGCCTTCATGGGATCGTAGGTAGAGCGACGCTTCCACATGGCCATCTCGGCTTCTTTCTGCTTGTTGACTAAAAATTTAGGAAAATATTTTAAAATCTTCTAAAAAAATAAAATTTAAAATAATCCATACCGGAAGCATCTCGTCGCACTGAGGATGAGGCCCTGGCACCTGGATTACCGCCTCCCAAGGACGTAGTACTGGTGTTCATCGCCGAGACGGTACTTCGGACACTCCTGTTACTGGCCCTAGTTCCATCGCCTCGAGACAAGCCCATCGAGGAGGCACTGGGACTGCGCTTCATCGGATCAGATGGCTTCAACGTGCTCTTGGAGTCGTTCTTGCGCAGAAAATTGTTTGACTGCACTGGCTTGTACTTGGATATGTCCAAGTACTTGGGTTGCACCCGCTGGTTAGAGGCTACGCCGGCATTGGCGGTTTGCAGAAGCTGCTTCTTGGCATTGGCCAGCGAACTGGGCACCTGCTGGGCCAACCGACTGAGACTCGTCTCCCTGGGCATGGACTGGCGGGTGTTGCGATTACCGGATCCGGGTGCCGCTGCTCTCGGAGCACTCTTGATGCCACGACGCGGCATTTCCGGGGTGTTCGGACAGGCCACCACACCGGCTCCACTCTGCTGGGCCACACTGAGCTTTCCCGCCGGGGCGGAAGTCGGCTTTGCCGGTGTATGTCCTCCGGCCACACGCTGCTTGCTCCTCTCGATCCTCATCAGCAGCGCCTTGTTCATGCGCGTGTTGCTCAACGGCACTGATCCCTGCGACTCCTCCGGCACCTCCTCTTCCTCCTCGTTGCTGGAGTAGTAGGCGCCCGAGGTGCCCATCTCATCCTCATCGTTGATGTAGTACTGCAGCTCATTGTCGTAGTCGCTGTAGGCTTGCTCAAAGTTGTTGCTGCTGGCGGACTTCTTCAGTTGCTGCTGCTGCTGCTGGTGGGCGGTGCTCAGGGCGTGGGCGTGGCGGGCAGCAGGCGGTGTATAGAGGTTCTGGAAATTAGGACGAGCCTGGCGCACGGGATGCTGGCCCTGTTGCTGTTGGAAACTGCTCGATCGACGCAGCGGCGACAAGGGGGCGGCAACTGGTTCCGGCTGCTCCACTTCCTGGCCGGGATCGTACTCCAGCGAGTTCTTGCGGCGCCGCAACTGCTTCAGCAGATACTCGCCGCTGGTGAGCAACTGCAGCTGCGCCTCGTTGATGCTGCTGGTCATGAGCGCCCGATGAAGTGGCGACCGCCGATAGCCACCGCCTGCTCCTGCCCCCATGCCAGTCGACTCCAGGCTGTGCTGTGGACTTCCCTGGGCCGGGGACTTGACTGAGCTCCGACGCGAAAGCGACTGCTGGAGATTACTGATGGCCGCCGCCGTCTGTTCCAAATAGACGTCTGTCGGTGGACGCGAGCGACTGGCACTGCGCGCACGACCCAGCGTGTGCAGCGGCGAAGGTATCTTGCTCGGACTCTTCGGCGGCTTGTAGGGTGGTTCCATCACCTGACCACCGTGGCTGCACAGCGCCGGATCGCTGGCGTAGTCGCAGTCGCCCATCAGTCGGTACCGCTCCGCTAGGCTACGATTCAGCTTGGCAGCGGCGGCGTACTGGCGCTGCTGGTTGTACAGGCTGAGGCTGTCGTCCGTCAAGGAATCGCCACCAGTATCGGAGCAGTTGTAGCTGCGTGTCATAAGTTGCTGGAGGTAAGGGAGAAAAAATGAGATTTTAGTTTGAAGCTGACCAAATAAGTATGCTATAGTTTTTGGGTATCGAGTGTGAGTGGTTGGTGTCTAGGCTGTGGTGGTGTCTGGGATATTTACATCACGTGTAGAATGCATGTAAAATAGCTCTCCATCAAATAAGATATAAGCTTATAGATAGATATATCTATTTTTTTGTGTTTATGATGGATTTAAAACCAGTTAATGCCTCATTATGAAAGTCTCTGCCTGTCTCTTTATCAATGTCAAAGATTAAGATCTATTAAGCTGGCATATTCTGCTAATATTTTGTGCTAATAAATTTTAATGAATTTTAAATTCTAACTTGACCCAAAAATAAAGGAAATTTTTAATAAAAACCAATAAATAAATCTATCAAAAGTAACTTGATATGCAAGAATACATTATAGACTTTAATTTAGGAGGTTTGTATACAAAGGTCTTTAAAAAGAACCTCATTTTTTGTTAAATAAAGTGGGTTCCCATTCTTTAAACTTAAAACTTTTAAAAATTTAAAAACATGAAGCCATCACTAACCCATCATCATGAATCATCTTCAACCATGAATCATCACAAGTTCTACAACAGCTTAATACAAAATTTGCAAACAAATTGGTTTTTTTCCAAAAAAAGACCTCCATCCGATCACCTCCAATCCCTGGACCGGTTCCCCAACTCACCTGTACTTGCTGATGTTGTTGTTGCTGCTGCTGCTGTTTCCGGCGACTGGCACTCGTGCCGCTTACATCCTGGGCCAAGCTGCGGGCTCGAGCATTCCGGGCCCACTCCTGAATCCAGTCCTGCTTGGTCTGAGCCGTCTGCAGCAGGGCCGCTTCCGAGCCCTGAGTCGGCGTGGTCGGAGTCTCGGGGAGCTGATGGTGGCCGGCGGGCTGACTGGTGCTGGTGGTGAACACATTCAGGCGATACTCGGCCTTCTGGCGATCGGTGGCCGAACCAGCCAGGGCTTGGGTGTGCCGCAACTTGGCCTCGTTGCTGACGTACTCCGAGCTGTCGATCTGCGAGGTGGACAGGCTGTGCGAGTGACGGGTGAGCTTGGGATGAGTGTCCAAGGCGCGCTGCTTGGCCAACACGCCGCTGGTGGTGACACTGGTGAAGCAGCCCACATCCGCCGCCGGCGACGGGGGGGTAGGTGGCGATGGGGGCACCTGTTGGCGTAGCACGCGACTCTTCAACTGATCCAAATAGGCACCTGCAACCGGAAGCCATTATTGATTGGAAATCCAAACACATGGGGCTATTATCTACTGACCTGTGGAGCTCCTTTGTGGCGGCAGTTGCTGTGGCTTCTGCTCCTGCAGCGGCGTTTCATGGTAATAGTTCACCTCCAGGACGTTACTGCCCCGATTGGCCTTTACCGGCAGCTGTTTGGGTCGCAGCTTGGCGGCCGCTTCCTTGCCATTCCTGTCGATGTTCATGAGATCTTTCTGTTCCTCCGTGTAGTTGTCCCCGTCGAGGGTGTAGGTGCCCGCTTCGCTCACCGCGTCGTTTTCGGCCAGCGACTTGCCGTCCGCCAGCGGGGGTTGCGGACAGAGCATCTCCACCTGGCGCAGGGCCAGCTGCATGGCGGTGGAGCGTGGCGTGAACTGGTTGGCTGTGCGATTGGCCACCAAATTGGAGGTACCCTTGGCCGCCGCTGGCGGAGGTGGGAGCTTGGAACGGCTGGCGGGACGTGCAGCGGCGGCGGCCGGAGCCGTTGGTGGCTCTGGACCGTTGGCCGAGCTCCTGGGCGACCAACTGTGACGCTTGGAGGCGTCACGCACTCGGGACGCACTACGATCCCTGACCCGCATCTTCACCGCCGTCGGCGGTGCCTGTTCACTGTTGGGTGTGGCGGCTGTCAGCGATGAGATGTCATCCGCCATGCTGCTGCCCGCGTCCAGGCTGCTCCGCTGCGAATGCCGGCCACTATTTGAGGTGGTATTGGTAGTAGTTGTGGTATTGTCCTTGTCCGTCTCCAGCTTGGACATGGAGGCGCCGCGCTTGTGACGATTCTGGAAGCGTTCCATCATATTCTTGTAGCGCGCCGCCTGAGCCGCTGCATCGTTCTCCGAGGCATCGAAATGATCAATGGTGAAGGCCAGTGCCTGTTTGGTGGCCGTCGTTGTGGTATTCGACTCGCTCGAGTTCTCCTCATCATCCCGTTCCCGTTCCCGCTCCACCGCTGGTGAAGATTTATTGCCAGTGGCGTGGTGGTTCGTTCGACTTTGCACTGAAGCCGCTGCAATGGAACACAAAAGAAGTAAAATTAAATTAGCATTTATTTACAGTTATTATTATTATTATTATTTTTATTATTATTAGCGTTTATGCGGTGAAAACGAAACTAAACGGCTGGCGGCTTAACTCAAGTGGCAAGAGAGCGGAGTCAGGAACGGTTCTAAGTGAAAAGGGTGCCTACTTAAGCATTTAATATCTTACTTTAAAATCTAAAATAATATCCCCCAAAACTTAATTAAATTTCCTAAAAAAGACTTATAAAGACCCCACTAAATATCCGCCAATTAAGTAACAAACACCTGTTATGGAACTCGCTCTACAAAGACAAACTAAGAGATATTTAATCAAGCTTCCCCATTCCGGACGACAATTATGCCTTCCTCTATAGACTATAGTCTCTATAGACCCTCTAGCTTCCAACCACCTATTAAAAGGGCCCTATTGAAACGCCCACCTGCTGCCTGGGGTGATCCCTCACTGTTTCCGCCAACAATTTCTATACATTTCCGCGGCCAAGCTCGAGCAAGAGAAAATCAAACAATTTGCTTTCCAGCTATGCCACGCAAAGTGGCACAAACTGTGGAAGGAGGGGAACCATCTAGGGGGCCACCTCTCAGAATCGTGATCTATGGATGGGTTGCTTCCACACGTACGCTCTATAAGGCACCCGGAAAGTGAAGGTTAGAGTTCGCTGATTTCGGTCAATTGCAGGTTTTTTTTTTGAGGGGCAGGCCAACCAAACTTTTACGCTCTACCTAACTTTACTGGCCATGGTAAGACCCACTGCCTGCAGGTGGCTTCCCATATTTATTAAAATAGATTTCACAGCCTTATTTTAAACATGATTTTGGTCACGAACCAAAAAATATACATATATTATAATTAAATAAAGAGTCAAGGTGATAACGTGATATCATTAGCCAGAGTGTGAAATTAATTAATAAACTACCATATTTAAGAAACTAATGAAGTTGAAAATCTCTTTCAAAATTAATATAATGTTTTGTTCGTAAAATCTTAAGTATCTTATTATTATTTTAACAAGTTCCGCATTCGAATTTATCATTTTAGATGGGCGTAAATTAAGTTGTTAGTGTAATTAAAGCCCCGATGAGATTCTCGCATTTCAACCTCAACTGCAACTGCTTAATGGGAATTATGGAAATATGACAAAAACATATTTGTTTTCTTTGTTCTCAGGTTCTCATCAACAGCTTTGGGAAATGTTGCCTCATATATCCAGTATTGTGGTTTATTTATTTAGGCAAATAATATCTGAGTTTCCATTGAATCACTTGCTTTGTGAGTTTTTAGTTGAAAACAAATGGTGGGAATATTGTCTCAGATTGCCAATTTGTTTTTAAGAATGAAGCTATGTCTGGTCTTAACTATCCAGAGTTTCTTAAAAATCACGCCCTGTGCAACGGATAAAAATAGAATGTTCAGAAATATTGCCTATAATTTAAAAACAAATGATGGGAAATTGGTCTAAGTTTTCTAATTTATGAAATCAAATTATCTTTTTTCAGTCTAAGGACAAAAAAATATTCAGAAATAATCTTGCTTCTCTAGTTTTAATTTAAAAAAAAATTGGTAGGAAAAGATTTTTTGTGTTTCAATTAATTTAAAGAATGAAACCTTCTGTCTGGTCTTTCCAGACCCAGAGTTTTCTTACAAATTCTCACTTAAATACAACTCAAAATACTGGTAACGAACGAATATCTTATATGTTATAATATCTAGTATTAATATTATTGGCTATAAAATAAAATATTCAGAAATATTGCTCGCAAATCCACTCCGCAGTTGTTATTTATTTTACCAACGAATATTAGAGATTAATTGCAATATCAGTGACGAAAGAGAATGTCACTAAAAATATCGCTGGTATTGATTTCGGCGAAGAGAAATGATTATCTTCAGAATTATAGCTTATATGTACATATATCCGGTATTGTGCAATTTATATATTTCATCGTTTTATCTTATCTTATTTCTCTCTTAAGGGGACCCCCCCCCATTCTCGATTTTAAATTTTGACGATTTTCAATGGGCTGGCAAATGAACATAAATTATTTTTTAGGGTTGTAACTGTGCTTACATATATTAAGACACAAAAAGGAAGAAAATCATTTCACAGAATTTTTTTTTGTTTGGTTTTTGTTGTTGTTTTTTGTGATCAAAGAAAAGTCCTTCTTTTCGGCGGCGCATGTGATTTCCGCTCACTGGAACATCTGAATTCAAAAATTCCAACGGGATTAGAAAAAGTACATGTTTGGCTCTCGTATGAACTAGGATTATTAACTTCGCTCAAAAATTAACAAAATGGTGGACCTTTGAAATTTTTTTTTGGAAATTTCCATTTTTTTCAGCCACAAATCGAGTTGAAAAGTAAGGAAGATCTTCACCGATTCGATTTATCCTAGTTCATACGAGAGCTATATATGTATAGAATAACGTGTTAAAATTTGGAACCGATTGGATTAATAGTTTTTGAGTAACCTCATGCGCCAGTCGTAAAAACACTGTTTCGAGAAAAACGCGTTTAAAGTTTTGAGATGGCTCTCGCCGTCGCCTGAGGCTTCCACCATAAATCGGCTATATCTTTAAGAGTTTTTGAAATTTTTACTTGAAATTTTCAGCGAACATTCTTGAATAGTTACAAGTTCGAATTAAATTAAAAAAAAAAAATCGATTTTTTAAAACCGAGAATGGGGGGGGTCCCCTTAAATCTCCAGCTTCTAAAGTTTTTATTTAAGGAAAATTCTTAAGAAATAAATAAAAACTTCTAGTTAATAATTTCCAACTCAATTCCGAATCTAGAACGACATTATTCGGTTGTTGGATTGGAAAATTTGCAATGCAATTTGGCAGGAAGCATTTCAGTCGCCATTGAGAGCCAACCGAGCAGCAATCACCGATATAGACAATAGACCACAATTGGTAACGCCGACCGACTAACGGTAATTACTCTGCCCACTGTGCATGGCCATAAAATGTCTTGTATCAACTTATCGTTACCAGTTGCCAGTTTCCAGTGGCCCCTCCATCATCGTATAGCTCTCTTTGGGCCATCGAGTTTTCTATGGGCCAACAATTGAAAACTGTTGGCACAACACACACAAATGTTGGGCATTACTATTGGCCATTATTATTATTATTATTATTATTGCCATTGCTGTGGAACTGTGTGTCGAGTGGCTTGTTCAAAAGTCTTTTGTTGGTTTTTTTTTGTTAGTCGCTTTTACTTTTCGCAATAAATAAAATCACACAATATAATGCTGTTTGAGTGTTGGCCAGCTTTTGTTTTTTTTTTTTGGAAAGTCGGGCAGAGGAAATTGTGTGACCGCCCGCCGATTTTTGATCATTTTTTTTAAGCAATTTTGGAGTGTTAACAAATTTGGTAACAAAGTGCAGTCGGGCTAACCGATTCTCACACTCTGACAGACAATCGGTTTCCGATTAGGTTTCGCTAATTGCATTATGGCCTCTTACGTCATTTTAAGCCATATCAATCAGTCATTAAATTCGGTTTCGGCCATTTGCGTATGCTTTGATTTTTATGCTTTTTTTTTTTTTGCATTTAAATTATTGTTATTAATAATTAATTTATATACATATATGCTTTTTCTTTCCGCAGAGAAAGCCATTGGGCGATCATCATCATTTGTCATCTGCGAATGAGGTCATCGACTGTGGCTATTTGTAGCGACTTGTTATCGGTGATTGTTTGGCTTATATGGAGTTTTCATTATACACTTGAGATCTTGGCTCTTTGGAGAAGAAACTCTGGGAAGACTAACACAGTATTTTGTTTCTAAGACAGTTTTTTAATTAAATAATAGATCCAATTAGGCCTTACCGCAATATAATCAATTTGAGAACAAGGCCAAAACCCAGAGATTTGATTCTTGGCTCTATGCCAAGGTAGAATTCTTTTCTAATATTAAGAAAACATACGCATCTATTAAAAGTATTTATTAAAAATAAAAAAAAAAAGAATATTTCACGTGACTGTAACATTCCATTAAAGTGAATCAGTTAACCAAGTGATATAATCCCCATTCCCGGTTGTCTACAAAAGACACCTGAGTTTGAAGTGAAAAGCAAAAGTAGCCACTCATTCCCAGGCCCCCACCTTGATTATTGTACCTCCCCTCATCAAGTGGACTGATTTGTTTTTCATAAATCTCTCATCATTTCGAAATATTTATCAGCATTTGTGTGTATTTGTACGAGGTGCTTGCCAAATCTTACAAAATTTGAACAGTCGCCGTCATTATCTCACACATTTTTCATTCCTTGCACGCAATTCATTGGCAAACAAATCATTAAAAAAATAAAAAAAAAAATTAAACTCAAAAGTAAAACAGATTCGTGAAGTGGAAGTGTATGGATGACTCAGCAGCGCCAGCTGCGGGCGTTGATCGATTGGAGGTTACTGGGATCCGATCCGATACGCTACTATGTCTGTCTCGCCAGACTCGCGAATCTTTACCAGAAAGATATATATTTAATTGAAAACAAAGAATTCAATGAATGAGTATATATAACCCTATAATTTGGGGCAATCTGCTTTAAGATTATGCTTTTTTTTGTATCTATATCTCAAGTTGTTTACCTCAGATTGCTTCTTGTATGGAATTTGCATTTCAAACAATAATATTTATATGGTTTTTGTTCTTCTCATGAGAGTGCTGAGGAAGAATTTAAGTGCTTTTTTAAAAGTTCATTTTCGGGGAGTATTTTCAGGCAGTATTTTGCTTAGAAAGCAGATAAATCAATCAATGGAGTATAGTTTACAAGTTGCTTAAAAGGAAAATAAACAATTTGGCTAGGGTTTATAGGCAGTTAGGATTTTCAAAAAATCAAACATTTTATTGTAGTCTCTTCTAATTTACATATATTTATATGTACATGTCCTTTCAAAATTTTACTTCAATTTATATGCGTATATGCGTCAGAGCCGGATAACTTTTAACGCTTTTTCCTCAAAACAGTGTTTTTAAAGTCGGTGATCTCAAATTCTCGAAAATAGGTAAGCTAATGGGTCTGGAATTTGTACACAATCTTCTGGGATATATTCCCCAGGTATTAAAAGAAGTATTCAAAATTTCCCCAGGTATTTCAAAATTTCAGCAAAAAACTACTGCTTTTGTTAAAAATTATGCCATTTTGTAAGAAATGAGAATTATTATTTTAATTATTAAGATTTATTTTAATTCCTTTCTTTAGTACCTGTATTTATGTATGTATGTATTCTTTAAAAGAATCAATCTATTTTATTAATTTTGGATTTTTCAAAACGACAAAAAACAAGATCCTTGCAAAGCTCCATTTTTTTGAAGACATTTAGAAATACAGAATACACATTTTGAAGAAATATTTTTACAGGATCAGCAGGTTATTATCTTCTTAAAAGTAGCTTCTAATAATGGTCTTGAAACATCTTAATTTCTCTTCCTAGGAAAATTTAATAAATGCTGCTTTTTCGGATCGTTTAAGTGCGTTTAACCCCTTTATAAAAAAATAAACAATTTGGCTACCACTACTATTTATGATTGTAGAGTTAATAATACTTTTTGGCCAACAATATAGTATTTAATTTCCGGTTGATCCAAAAGAATGAACCTCCATGTTAGACAACTCTTTCGTTTGGTGTCACACTGCCATAAATATCCAAAGCTGATGTCACTTGCCGGCGGCTTTAGTGGCTTTCGCAGGCTATTGATCCCGTTCCACTTTCTCGAAAACCAGAAGCGGTAACTGGCTTTTATAACCAGCCTCGGCCCACTGTGCCAGTACAAACTAGGTGTGTTTGGGAGAGTGTGTGTGTGCCTGCTAGGCATGACTATTGCAATAAATATTTGCCATAGCTTAGCCATGGCCAGAAAGACTCGCACAAAATAGCTTCATTAAAAATTTAAATTAACAAAAAAAAAAAGGCCAAACAGCCACAAGACCCCGACCACAGACCATCAATTGTCCACGGTTCTGGTCTTGGCCAGAATCTATCCTGAAAGCAAACATAAGCTTACCTCTTTCGGCCGGTGATGGTGGCGGCTTGCCAAGACAGAACTTGCCACTGGACTCATCGATGGCAGCCCCCAGACCCACAAAGCCAGGATTCACCGGATGTCGGAGCTGCACGTGCCGCGGAGAGAGAGAGGGTGATATTGGGGAGGTACTGCCTTCGGCTCCTTCCATTATCTCCACTATTTTCTTGATATTCTCCGGCGTAGTGTCGGCCTTTTCGCGTCCATCATCCTCCTCCCCGTATACTGTCCTCCCAATTGACAAGTTGTCACGGCCCTTGGCTTTGGATGGGTCTGCTGCAGTGGCCACGCCCCCGGCCCCCGATGCTTCGGGACTTGTAGTTGCTGCAGCTGCTCCTCCTCCTCCTCCTGATGTTGTTGTGGATGACGATGTCGTTGTATCATTATTTGCGTATGATGTCATATTTAAAGCCTTGGCCGCTATAAAATTTCAACCAATCTCTGAACTCTTGTATTCTCTGCCTACTTAGCTAATTAATTAGCTAGTCATTTCCACTAGTTCCTTCCGTTCCGTTCCGTTCGTGTTACTACGACTTCCACATCCTGTCGCTGAAGTGAATTCCTGCTGGCTGGCTGGTGATTACCTGACGGACGAAGGTGTGAAAATTACATAAATTTAGGAGTACACACACACACTGACTGATTTTAAGAATGCATGCTCACGCCCAGACCGAAACACAAGGACTGAAATGGACAAGGTATTTCCAATTGGACAGGCACTTGGAAAACTATTCACGTATTTCCACACACGCGTAAAAATAGAAGAAAAGCGGAAAAGCTGAAAAACTCGACTCTCTTGGCTGCCTTTTCAAGGTTGCTTTTGTTGTTGATCGAATTTGTATTTTATTTTTACAATCAACACTTTTGGAGGCAGCAGCCGCACGCACACCAACACACACACAGTCACCAGAACTTAGGGCCAACACATACACACACTTTCAAGGGCAGGGTCTGGGTCCGTTTGGACTTTTCACTTGCATTTCCATTTCTGTACAATTTTTTGGCCTCGTTGGCTGATAATGAACTTTTTTCCAATTCGCGACACGCGCTACCCCACTCGATTACTCACTCTATCCGCGACATGACCGCTCGGCCCGAGAAAAAAATTTCAAATAATTTATTTTTTTTCAGTCAATACAATCAGTCAGTTGGGTTACGTTACGTTAACAGAATGCTGACACGCCACGGGACACGGCTCGAACCACACATTCTTGTCTGTAACCGGTTCGGGCCAAAACCGTTTCGGGGCAGCGCCGCCAGCAGAGGCGTTACGTTACGTTATGTTGGCGCAGGTGTGTGAGTTGGCCAAAAGAGGAGAGCGAGAGAGGACAGGGCGCAGCAGGGTTGCCAATTATTCAAAAAATTCAATTAAAATATCAAGAAAAAAAAGTTTTTAAAAATCTTTTATAAAAATTATTCTACACCTATAATTTTTATAACTTGTTTTTATTGTTTTTTTATTTTTTCTTTTTTGATAAGCTGACAAGCCTATTCGAAGCATGAGAGAGGAATGTAAACAGCTGGGTGTTTTCAGGGTTGTTGTATGGCTCTTGGAACAGGTAATACCTAACATAACTTTTAAAATAAAAAAATTTAATAATTTTGAGGATAAAAAAATTAAAAAGTGCAAATTTTAAAGACAAAGTAAGTATCTAATTTTTTTTCAGACAAATTGTGCAATATGGTTGCCAATATTTCAATATATTTAATATTTATAATATATTTTTAAAGTAAAAGATTGTTTTTGACTTTTTTCTGAGCTTATTTTCAAAAATTTCTCACGAATGGTAGGCAGCTCTATTCGAGAGGCCAGTAACTTTATCGAGTGGAGGCTAATTAAAACATTGATAATTGCCCGATGGGGTGGTTGAGTAACAGAATGGCCAATAGCGGATATATCAGCGAAAGAATCGCGTTCGGCAGATTTTCGCTTGAGTGAGCAAATATATCCGCAGGCAGTGCACTCGACAGGTGGCCTTTGCTATTTTTATAAAAAACCAAACACTTGCGATCACTCTCGCTTTTTCAATCAAGCAGCTGTAGCACCGTTTAAAATAAACTAAGGGGGTTGGTAAAAAAAACTTAAAGCCAAATTCTTTGTTTAAGACTGGTCCGAAACAATAACAATGGCCATTGCCGCGCAAAGATAACAAAAGAGAGCGCACGTCCACCCTCGTTGCTCTCGGGCTGTTCTCTTCCTCCCTCAAGCACTTGATTTGTATTGGCATTTGAATTTTCTGCTTCTTTGCCCCTTCTTGCACTTCGAAGCGTTTTTTTCGTTTTCGTAGCGTTTTTTTCACATTTCCACATCTGAACAATTTTCACAATTATGCACACAGTTTCCAGCACCCTTTATTAGCACTTTCACCGTTAAAATGGTATTTTTAAATATATTTACTTGCTAGGGGGAAGCAAGAAAGGAATGCGCCAGGAATTTTCGTTTTGTTTTGGTAATGAACTCGACGAAGAGCTTTGAATCAGCATAGAGATGGTAGGTCTACGGCGATTATTTTTACTTATCGATGTTTCGATAACTTTCAGTAGAGCTAAACAACTATCGTATTAAATAATTTAAAAAACATTATTTTTTATTAAATTTATAAACAAAATTTGTATTATTTTAAAATTTTTTTTTATTTCTGACATTTAGTAATACATTTACATATGTGTACGTAGCTATGCATGTGTATATGGTTTGGAGGGGATCAAAATATCGTGGTCCCCTTATAACTTACAAAACTAATAAAAACAAAGTAAACATTAGATGGTTAGCAGATGTTACAGGAATTGTATATGTAGGCATACATAAAAATATCTGCTTGCGTTTATGGGTCCACTAACTATACAAACTGATAAGTAACTGGGAGGCAAAAAAAAATCGGAATATTCTGGGAATGCTTTAGTCCCGATACTAACGGCCGTTCCAGTGTGTAACATGTCCGTTCTCAAAGGCCAGACTGATTCTGGGATGCGGCAGTGGCCTGGCCGCCTGCAGGGGCTCCCTGGCCGGATCATCTTCAAAGTACAGGCACTGCCGCACAAACTCCAGGAATAGAGTCTGCGACTGTGCGGTTACGGAGGAGAGGGCATTCAAGTTGGAATCGTTGCAAAGTCCCCGGACTAGGTGTTCACAAATCCGCGTATTGGTATCGACATCGAAAAGGGGCACCCCGAAATTGACTTCCAGAAGAGTCCACTCTTCGGTCGCATCCTCCTCTGGTTCCGCGGGCGAGTCTTCTTCCTCGACCATTGGAATCTCTACGGAACTTTGCGACAAGAGGTCCGCCCGGCTGCTACATTTCGCCAGTTCACTGGCCAGCACTTGGCTACAATCTGGCGAGGTAAACTCGTTAGCTGGCCCATGCTCTGGAGTGGTCGCAAAGTGATTCTCATCCGGGCTCTTCAGGGGGAAGCTGGTAACTTCAGCTGTGGCGGGCGTGGCTGGCTCGCTGTTTGGCACATTTAGGGATTGACTGGGAGCTGGGGTTATTGAGGAGCGCTTCTGGCGTTGCATTGGCTTCAGGCGCACCCTCAACTCGTACTCCTCGCATCCGAGATCCGGAACGCCCGTGTTAAGGAATGTTATATAGCCGCATTGCTGGCGTAAATCTATCAGGTTGGACAGCCGTTGGACGGCGCGATGGGCGGCCCACTTGGCTTGGCGCGTGTCCGCCGGTTGGAATGGAAACGACTCGTAATGTAGAGCTCCGGGCGTCCGGATCCCATAGCCTTGTAACAACACACAGCCGTTCTTAAGCTGCTCATTCACGTTGCGAAAGTTTTCCGAGTTGAGAACATACGAATCGGAGTGCAGGATGTTCACCAATAGTTTCCCATATCCGAGGAACAAGCGGGGCAGAGATTTGAGCACGGTTCCACGGCATAGGAGTAAACTGGGTGGTCCATAACCTGGAAGAGCCGATAAGGAGCTCATTAGTTACTGTTTCTTATTCGGATTTTTATACGCACCTGTGATATGGTTGTAAAAGAGCTTGTTCCACATGGGCGCAACATCGGAGCTTCGTAAAAACTGTCCAAAGTATGGAATGCTAAAAGTATGACTCAGCGACGCCGTCAGCGGCGAGGCAGCGATAATGAACTTATACTTTTTTTCGAGTACTCGGTCCCGCGTCTGCCGGTCCAAGCCCTCGAGGCATTCCAACCGAAGCAGATCTAAGCCACCAGGGAGCAAATGGCGCAAGGAACAGATGGTGGACCGTAAAATGACGGCATGGGCGAAATAGCGCGACACGTCGCCCTCTCCTTCCGCATCCAGCAGCGACACCTGCTCCAGTTCGGCCAAAAAACTGTCCAGACTCTCCTCGCACAACTTTCCCACCTCGAACATGGTCACGGCGTGGTTCTTAAGGCCCGGTGACAGGTTTCCCATCATTAGAAAAGCGGTCAGAGTGGAGTCGAAAAGAAAACCCACTCGCTTTCCGCTCTTTGGAGCCGGAGGTGTAGGAGCAGGTACCGCAACAGCCGCCGGCTTGGCAGTCCTATCGCTCAGATCCTCTAGCTCCGAGCTCAGGTCCTGCTCGTCACTATTGTTTGTGGGTTCCTGGGGAGTGGTGTTTAAATTGGCAAAGCTAAAGTCACTGGTGTTGCCGTCCGAAGATAGGTAACCAATGGAACTGCTGTCCTTGTCCTTGTCTTTCTCCCTTGGAGTCTTTGGCGACTTGGGGCTCTGATCGAAGTCGAAGCTACTGGCATGTGGGTTGTAGTTCAGCGGAGTGATTTGTGGCGTCTCTGGAATTTGCTGTTGATTGTAGCCCTCCCAGCTGTGATGATTAGCCTGATTCTGTTGCTCTTGAACTGCGTCCTGTTTCCGGTGGGCAAAGCCCAGGCGACAAATAAAGGAAACCGCTTGCTTCACACTGTCGAGCTCCAGTTGCAGCATGTGCGCCAGCTCGGCAATAGTCATGTGCTCATCGGCACTAACAAAGATCTTGTAGAGAAGATTCTCAAAGTAGTCGCCGCTCACACGATTCATCACGAAATTGCGAAGCGGAGGAATGGATATGCGATCCTCGCCGCTGATGGGCACATCCAGATAGATAAGCCCCTTCTTGTACAAGTTGTGAACCACCTCGTAGTCGCACTTGCCCGCCGGTTGCGCTCCAAAGTCGATTAGATCATCCAGAAGGCCACGCTCGGCTGGCGTCAAATACTTGATGTCCGTCTCCAAGACGTAGCCAATATCTAGTCGCCACCAGGGCTCCATGTGGATGCGGACGGGGAATCGCGGCAGAAAGTCCAGCGGATTGGGTCGAGATCCAAAGAGCAGGGAACGCGGCGTATGAGTCTTCAAGTCGCTGATCAGGGCCAGATACTCATTCCGTCCAATTCCCAACACCCGCAGACAGTCGGCGGCCGTAAAGTTGGGCAACGTATCGTAGCTCTTGTCGCTCTTGAGCAGCTGTCCCAGGACGTCCAGGTAGTAGTTAAAGGGCGTAACCCGCAATCCCTTTGTCACAATGTCGGCCAGATGGTATGGAAAGGCGCCAAGGCCGTTTATACTTTTTTGGATTAGTAGCTCGTAGTAGCGCTGCTCCCGGCGGAACACCTTTGCAGCCAGGTTTCCGCGGAAACGCAACTGATTCTTCAGGCTGTAGTTGAAAGCAAATTTCTCGTAATCGCGCTGGTTGTGCAGCACAGACCGCAAGTGGACGGGCAGCAGCTGCCAGGAGACATTACCACGCACGCATTGCTGCAGTTGGGCTTGGCAGTTGCTACCAACCCCGCCCCCGGCACTACCATTGCCACCTCCAGCCACGCTTCCGGAACTGGCCAGCTCCTCTTTCTCCGTCATCTTTGGACTCGGCTTGGAATCTCCTTTTCTTCAGTCTAGCTCATACCATGGCTTTCCCTCGTGGTTATTCTTCCAAATGCCTCGTAGGTTTAATGATAAAGCGCTGCGTTTCACTTTATTTTCCCGTTTTTGTTGGCAGCAAGAAGAAAAACGACGACAGCTGATAAAAGCCGATAGCTGCTTGCATGCGGCGTTATGCAACACTGCGCTAAAGGCAGACTAGTCGAACCTTTTGTTATCGAATATTTTTAAATTTTAAAAATAATCTATTGGTGGAGATGCGATCTACAAATCGATCAAGATATACCGCTCAAGAATCAGATGAAAATTGGCCAAGATATAGCCATCACTCGGGGCCATTTTGGCCCTCCGTGCCTTTTTCCAAATTTTGAAGGGGACCCTCCAGAAAATTTAAGACAAAATCTGAAAAATATTTTCTTTCCAGATTTAAATGCAGATTGATGGAGAATCGATCTACAAATCGATTAAGATATACCGCTCAAGAATCGGATGAAAATTGGCAAAGATATGGCCATCACTCTGGGCCATTTTGGCCATCCATGCATTTTTCCAAATTTTGAAGGGGACCCTCCAGAAAATTTGAGAAAAAATCTGAAATATATTTTCTTTCCAGATTTGAATGCAGATTGATGGTGAATCGATCTAGAAATCGATTAAGATATACCGCTCAAGAATCGGATCAAAATTGGCCACTATATGGCTATTTGTCAGGGCCATTTTGGCGTTGCATGCATTTTTCAAAAATTTTGAACCTGTTGGGGACCCCTCTTGTTGTTTTCAAAAAGGGTTCGTCAAATATTCTGCGAATTTTCATGTTTATTTAAGAATTAAACTAAAACTAACTTTAAAAAAAGATAACAATAATGGGTAATCCAGGGGCTTTGGGGGCTTGGGTCTGCGAGTGTCTGAATCCTTGAGTGGTCTTAGTTCCGGGAAGACCTGCGTCCGCGGGATCCCCTGCGGTGCGATGTTGTCTTCCTTCCGGGGCGGTTTCTCCTGCACCTTGACCTGAAAACATGCTTCTTCTTGGTTCCTCCGCTTGATGGAGCAGCGGTGGTGGAGGCAGTGGAAGAAGCGGGAGTGCTGCTGGTAGGATCAGTGGATGCAGGAGACGTGGTGGGCGGCGTTTTATATACTTTATTAGTCTCAACAACAATAGTTTAACGTACTTAGCATAACATAACATAAAAAGGGGGGGGTTTGTGGTTGGTCGTGGGTAATGGACAGTAAGGGCTTGTAGACGGACGGGACGACCGTTAGGCATTGCTTCGCCCGCAGCAGGCCCCAACTCTCCACCCTACCGCCTCTCCTGCTCGATGCTCCTGAGCCTCTGCATTAACGCTGCAGCGAAGGATGCTACTGCGTCCCACAGCATCTGGGTTTCCAGCATTGTCTCCACAAGGTTTCCTGGGTGGAGTGAGCGGCCCGCCGTCGCCTCCAGTCGGTGGCGCTCTCGTGCAAACCGGCGGCACTCGAAGACAACGTGCTTGGCGTCCTCGACTACCGATCTCCCGCACTCCGGGCACCAGTCCTCCTCCGCGTGGCCAAAACGCTTTAGGTATTGCCGGAAGCAGCCATGACCACTCAATACCTGCGTCAGGTAAAAATCGACCTGTCCGTGGCTTCGAGACACCCACCTTCTAAGATTGGGGATGAGAGTGTACGTCCATCTTCCTTTCGTCGATGAGTCCCAGCAGTCCTGCCAGGCTGTGAGCGACCTCTCCTTGGCCTCCTCCCTTGTAGGAGGTGGGCGGCGTAGTTGGTGTGGTGGGTGGCGTGGTTGGACTGGCCGGAGGAGTAGTACTGGGATCGGTGGGTGTTGTGGGCGAAGCGGGTGGGGTTGTGGGATCCGGGGGGGTGGAGGTCTGGGCGAGGATAGTGGCAACTAGGGCCAGGAAGCCAAGGAAGTAAGCCAGTTGGAATCGCATCTTGTGATGTATCTTCGAGTACTGGGACTGATGTACCTTCTCTGGCCAAGCCAGGAGTATTTATACCCAAACCGAAATTGTTGGAAGATGATACTAAGTAGCTTGTTTGTTTTAAACAAATAATTCGTTATAAGCTGTATTATGTGTGCTTAGTCGCGATTCTAAAAGTGTCATCTAATTTGGAATATAACTAGCTTATAAAAACAAAGATGTTCACAATTTGTTCCAACATTATTAATAGAAGAAAGTATTTATTTTTTTTTTACTTAAAATTAAACTAGGCTTAATGGAGGTATTAATAAAATAACTAAACGTTTCAGGATCGGAGACCAATAAGCCAACTTGAATTTTGGCCATATAAAAATATCGCGGTTTTATCAAGAAAAACACATTATAGAAAAAATTTGTCCAGGTTTTCCAGAGACTATTATAGTATTATTGTAGATAATTATATTATTAGAGTACCACGATATTCCTCTTAAAAATCGCGTCACTATTGTCCAAGATATGGCCTTCGAAATGGACCGTTATGTCCTTCTTCTACAAAATTTTCTACAAAATTTGGGAAAATATCTCAAAACTATTTTCATTCTAGATTTTGATGCAGATTGATGGAGTATTGATCTAGAAATCCACTAAAATAAACCGCTCAAGCATTGTATGAGAATTAGCCAAGATATATATAGTCTATTCATGGCCATGATATTATTCTATTTATATAGCCATAATTATTTTCTGAGGGCAGAAACTTTAAAAAGAACTATTAATTAATTTTGTCCTGCCAAGAAAAATAATTAATTTTTTAAATTATAATTTTAAATGGTTTACCTTTTAAAATTGGACTATCGATATCTGTTCTAGTCTTATCAGGGCCTTTACCAACACCGCCAATGGACGTTGTGCAGCACTAGCCCCGCTGATGATTTTCAATATTGCTTCGCTTCAAAAACACTTGCGTTTAAATCTCTAAATTGTCAAATTTCTGTTATGAATCGTTTGTGATCGACCCTAGTTGTCGACGAAAGGAAGTTGGCGAACAACTCTCCATGCGCGTCGATCAGAGGCAGCGGCGGCAGAGGCAGCGACAGAGTAGCGAGGTCAAACAGAGGGACATCAACATCGATTTTTTTGCACCCTTTTTTTTCTTTTTGTTGGGCACCGCATTTTTGCAAACAAAGACCAAGGCGGCGGTGGGGGGCGAGTAGCTAAAAGATTTTAGCAAAGATGAGTGGAGGAGGCAACGAGGAGCAGCAACAGCTGCCAGGCGTTTCCAGGTAAGTTGTTAGATCCTCAAAAATGTTCTCTTTTTGCTGAATATTGTACACTTTTCTTTGAAAACTAGCATTGCATCCGGATCTGGAACAGTTTCGGGAGGCGGAAGGGCCACGCCGGAAATGAAGCGTTCTGCGGTTCGCAGCTTGATCCAAAGATACTTCCACCAACTACAGTCTGGCTGCGGGAATGCTCATTGCACCAACGCCAATTGCGCCTCCAGCGGCAAGGTGGCACCCATGACGGCCAACGAGGTTGCGGCCAAAGCACTGCAGCTTTTCTCGCAGGATGCACAGCTTTGCGAGACCGTCAGTAGGTAGGTTACCAAAGATCAACGCTGATTTAAGCCACAAACTAATCGGTCCACTCAACTTAGTCCCCAGGATGTGGACATGCTCTCTCCCAACGACAGTAGCAGCAGCAGTAGCGGTAGCAGCGGCAGCGGAAGCTCTACCAGCACCATTACTTCCGCCAGTACTGCCACCACCACCAGCACGAAATCACAATCTCAATCCCAGATGGCTTCGCGTAATGTGGTGGTGGCAGTCTTAAACGAGGACCCCGTCTTGAGTGTGCCCCCTTTGGATTTGAGTGGTCTCGAGCCCTCACCCGGGGGCTCAGGACCCACCACTCCCACGTTACCGCCTGTTCAGAGCTTAGATGCTAACAGCCTGATGGCTCTCTACGAGCAGTGTCGTGCTGGAGACAGCTACGATTTGATCTGTCACGCCATCGGTGATGTTTTTTCCAATGTGGATCGACTGAGCAAGAGTTTCATAAAGAGCGCAGAACCACAGGCTTCCAGTAGCCTGCAAGAGCTTCTGGCTAATCCTCCCGAGGCCCTGAACAAGGAGCAGCTGCGCACGCTGGAGGGCGAGCACGACAAGGACGAGGACAGCACTCAGCAAGACCAAGAAGAACTAGAGGGAGTCGAGGCGCCGACTACAGCGGCAACAGAATCATCAATCAGGGAAGCTCCGGCAGAAATAGATGCAGAGCCCGAAGACGAGGATGTGACCATGGCCCATGTGTCCACGGATGAAGATTCTGGGGAAGATCCATCCCAGAGCAGTGACACTAAGGTGGACTTCCAAGGCCTCCGTCGTGTGCAGCGACTCCTCTTCGGCTCCCAAACGCGAGTTATCACGGAGAAGCTGACCACTAGTGTTATCCAGTTGGCGGACTGGGTGCATTACATGAGGCTTGATTGGGAGAAGGTGATACATTGCCTGGTTATCTGCTTCGACCTGGCCACAAATAGTGAGTTTTTCAAAAAACTTGATGGATTATTAAGCAACTCCCTAAGTTGTTTCTATTTTTTTAGCCAACAACAGTGTGGTAGACATGGATTATCTAGACCGGGTACTGCCCAAGCTTTGTCATGCAGCGGCCGCTATGCCCGTGCCGGCCCAGGCTCGCCTAGCTAGGATATGGGCTGCTCACTGTTCGGATCAGTTACAGGCTCTAGTTGCTGCCTGTCAGCAACAGATTACTCTACAGGTGCTCCTCGACGAGGACTCGGTGCGCGAAAACGAACGCATTATCAGCGTTACCAAAGTTTTAAAGGTATTGTTTCTAATGTTAAATATAGAATATAAGTATATATTCTTTTATCTGTTTATCAGATTGTCTTCTACGCCAACATTTTGGCTAGCGAACTGGAGCATCCATCGTGCCGTGCGCCGTTGGATGACAGGACTGATATGGCGGCGAGTTCTTCGTCTGCTGGCGGAGGTATCGAGGATGACTTGTTCGTCTACAGTTCGCTGTTGCAGCCGCACATGCCGAAGTTCGCCGAGGACCAATTGGAGAAGGCGTTGCAGGTTTCGGCCATCGACTGTCGGCGGCCATTGGTGCCGCTGGAGGAGTTCTACAATGAGGCACTCAGCGAAAACATTCAAATGCACCACGACTACCTTTCATACAAGGCCTTGGCTATGGAGAGCGAGATGGGATCCGGCCACACCTTCTCATTCATGCTGTATGCATTCATCCTGACACCGGCCACCAAAGTAGATGCGCTTTACTACGACAGTCGGATGCGAATGTATAGCGAGCGGTACTCCTCCATTATCAACAACTTTGGGCAGGACGGGCAGGATGGCATGCCACGTCCCGATCTCAAGCTGACAGTGCGTCGGGATCAGCTCATCAACGATGCACTCATCGGGGTTGGTTACCAAAATTAGTATATCGGTCACTGTATTCACCTCATCATTATCCTTCACAGCTGGAACTGGTGGCCATGAGCAATCCGAAGGATCTCAAGAAGCAGCTGGTGGTGGAGTTTGTCGGCGAGCAGGGCATCGACGAGGGCGGCGTATCCAAAGAGTTCTTCCAGCTGATTGTGGAGGAAATTTTCAATCCGGCTTTCGGAATGTTTGTCCAGCAAGACGAGACCAATAACATGTGGTAAAATATGACCTGGAGTATGTGTGTGCAAGGATCTCTGTTATCCCGATGACTTCTCTTGCAGGTTCAACGCCACACCCTTCGAAAATGGGGCACAATTCACACTTATTGGCATCATCATCGGCCTGGCGATCTACAATAACGTCATTTTAGCCGTAAACTTTCCCATGGTTGTTTATCGCAAGCTGATGGGCTACTGCGGTACGTTTGCGGATCTTGAAGACTGGAGCCCAACGCTGCACAAGAGCCTACAGTCGCTACTGGACTACCAGGGCCAGGACATGGAGGAGGTGTTCGACCAAACGTTCAGGATCAGCTATAGCAACGTGTTCGGCGAGATGGTGGAGCACGAGCTGGTGCCAAACGGCAAGGATGTGCTGGTGGGCCAGCACAACAAGCAGCTATTTGTAAATTTGTACAGTGACTTCTTGCTGAACACCAGCATCCAGCAGCAGTTCAATGCTTTCCGCAAGGGCTTCGAAATGGTGACTGACGAGTCGCCGCTTAAGTTGCTCTTCCGGCCCGAAGAGATTGAAATGCTTGTTTGCGGCAGTCGCGTGAGTACTCCTTGAATTTTATATAAAATAAGCTTCTTCATGGTTGGTTTCCCTACAGGAATTCGACTTCGTGGAGCTGGAACACTCGACTGAGTACGAGGGCGGCTATACGGAGGAAACGCAAATCATCCAGGACTTCTGGAGTATCGTTCATGCCATGCCCATCGAATCAAAACGAAAGCTGTTGGAATTCACCACAGGATCGGCGCGGGTGCCGGTGGGCGGGCTGAAGTGCCTGCGTCTGCTGATCACACGGCATGGACCGGACAGCGACCGACTGCCCACCTCGCACACCTGCTTCAACGTTCTACTGCTGCCGGAGTACAGCAGTCGAGAGAAGCTGGAGGAGCGCCTGCTAAAGGCTATTAACTACTCGAAGGGATTCGGCATGCTTTAGGCAACCACTCTCACCATCACCGTCACCGTCACGAGCCACAAACCACAAAACCACCATCTACAATCATTAACTATCAAGTTAGAGTCCAAGTCCAAGTCTGTCATCGCAACTGATACCACCACTCTGTGAGAAAGGAGAAGCCGAAGATTTTGATGGTTTTGAGTTCGTTTTTGGGTTCTGCCATTTATTTTTGATACGACCTGTTCAATGAGACAATATACACATAAATATATATATGCTCAATTTCTGGCGCGATGGCGAGAAAAGCAGACCGAACGGACACGCGATTTTGTTCCCCTTTGTCGCCCAGTTAAATGTAAATATAAATGATTACACCACATACCCACACTATGTGAATTCACCTATGTAACTCCCATACTTAAGACGCAACGCGCTGAATATTTTGCTAAATAAATTTATAGTTTTGCGCAAATATATTTCGTTGTTATGAATTTCAGAAACTGCAAGTTTGGTGGAAAAATATTTGAATTTGACCGCCTATCGATAACTTTCTGCTTGCCTATCGAAAATACCAGATGCTACCTGACAGTGATGCCATATCTAGCTAAACAGCTGATGGACGCGATTTCTTCCTCAACCAAATCTTGCTCGGTTTTTAAACTCAAAAGAGACTCCCTTAAAAGAGGACGGTTTAGCGGAAAATGCGACAATTATAACGCGAACGTTTGTGTGTGAAAGTGAGGGAATTGCATCAAGAATCCAGCATCATGCAAAAACAACAAGACGCTTTGTTTATGCGCATAGCAGCGCTCCTTTCATTCGCGTTGTTGTTGTTGCAAGGAGCCAGCGCTGAGGCCGACGCTGACGCTAACGCCGCTGCTGCGTCAGAGTCCAATTGGAATGGTTTGTTTTTGTTATTGTTTTTAACTGGAACATCAGCCAGGCATAGAAAATTATATAGCATTCATGAGATCCGCCGGGTAGTGCATCCATCCGAGTACATTCCACTCACGTACGCTGCTACATATTTTCGAGATATTGTTTATGTTCCGTACCACACCCACACAAATTCATCCATCCCCCTCTTCTGCATTTTACTTGGAAGTGCTTTTTGTTTTCATTCCTCTTTGATCTTTTCTGTAAATTGCAGATACAAGTGTCTGAGATACAGATACATTTCTGGGATATTTCCGATTATTGAAAAGTGAATTTATAATTTAGATTTTTCCAAAACCGGCTTGACTTGTTGGTTAATTGCTATGACCGGTTAATGTTTATTATAAAATAATGATGGAATATAGAATAAGAATTAATATTTAACTTTTTAAAACAACCAATAATTTATTTAATCATATAGATAGATTAATCTTATAGATGTATCATCTTTCTCTCTTTCCTTTAGACAAAGTTAAAGTCTACACTGTGGCCACTGAACCCACCGATGGCTATAATCGTTACTATAGATCTGCCCGAGTTTATGACATTGAGGTGAGACATTATCATAAATCGTACATTTTTATTAATTAGCTTAATCCAGAGTCTCATTTTATTCACATAGAGTATCTAAATACTAAGATCTAGAATCTAGAACCGTTAGTATAAACTTGCAAAAATCCTCCGCTAAAAATTTTACAACCAATTATTTTTATGTTCCTAATACCGTTATACCAAAACAAGCTAACAAAATTTGCAAAAATATCTATAAACTTCTCCGACACTATATCTGGCATTTAAATAAGCTTTGATTGGCTTTATTGATGAATTTCTAATTTGACGTAAGCTCGTGGTATACATATCAGAATAATAATATATATGTATATGTTTTTGTATGTTTAAGACTTTGCCGGTCGGCTTGTGGCACACTTTAGCAACTTTGTATTGTTTTAATGTCTGTTTAGTATATATAGTATACACATATGTATAGTTCAGCATCCGGCGTTGGCGTCTCTGATTCTCTGATGTGGAGCACCAAGATTGGCTGGACATTGTGGGGCAGCCACAAAACATTTCGTTTTTAGTCAACATATAGTGCACACATGTTGCTTTGAGGTCTGGAGGCTTTAATCACGTAGTCCAGCCCCGATTCGGTGCAGTTGCCGGGGGTAATTAGCACAATAGAGACTATGATGCCTCGGTTCCCCGGTTCTATTGATAGATTAGAACTTTCTATAGTCGTCCATAGGAAATTTACACTTATCAGGAGTAACCCTAAGATGTGACACTTTTTTTTTTGTTGCCGGTTCGGAAACAAAATAGTCGGGAGAATAAAATAAAAATGTGCTGATAAGCCGAAGTTGATCTTTTCCCCCTTTTCTTTGAATTTCTTTTGAGGTTTTGGGGTATACATAAGTCTAATGTTTTGTATTTCAAGAACTGTGCAACCCCAGAAATATAATCTGGTTGTGATTGCTTCAAAAAATGCCTCAGCTTGAAGTAAATAGTTGAGAAAGTAGGTACATATGTACATATTTCTTAAAAGCTAACCCGTGGCTTTAAAAGATAAAATATCAAAACTCAACCGGCTGAAAATGAATTAATTAAAGTCTGAAAACCATATATTTCATACAATAGTTTGGATATCAAGTTTATAAACTGGAATCTACTATAATCCAGTTAAGATGAGCTATAAAATCAAGCTGTATTCATAATTCCACTTGTATTCAAACAGGTAACCACCCTTGGCTTGGGGAAGGAATGGAAGGGAGGGGATATGCAGCATCCCGGTGGCGGTTTCAAGCTAAACCTCCTCCGCAAAGCAATCTCTCCTTTTAAAAACGATCCCGAAAAAATTATACTCTTTACTGACAGGTGAGAACTTAGTATTACTTAAAAAAAATAATCCTTTATTTAATAAAATATTATTTCAGCTACGATGTAGTCATCACTGCTGGTTTGGAGGATATCGTAGAAAAGTTCAAAGATTCGGGTGCCAAAGTACTCATCTCTGCCGAGAAATACTGCTGGCCGGACAAGAACCTGGCCAACGATTATCCCGAAGTGGAGGGCAAGGCATCCCGCTTCCTCAACTCCGGTGCCTTTATTGGCTACGCTCCTCAGGTATACGGCCTGCTGGAGGATCCCATCGAGGACACTGCCGATGATCAGTTGTACTTGACCAAAGTCTTCCTCAACGACGCCAAACGCTCCAAGCTGGGCATTAAGTTGGACACCCAATCCAAGTTATTCCAAAATCTCCACGGTGCTAAGAACGATGTGAAGCTGAAGGTTGATCTGGAAAGCAATCAGGGTGTACTGCAGAATGTGGACTTTATGACAACGCCGGCCATCATTCATGGCAATGGACTGAGCAAAGTGGATCTGAATGCCTATGCCAATTACTTGGCCAAGACCTTCAGCGGTGTCTGCCTGTTGTGCCAGGAAAACAAACTGGAATTAGACGTGAGGGGTTCTAGAAAATGCCCTAGTCTTTAGTTTATTTAATATTATTTTTATTTTTTTTAGAATTCAAACCTTCCTGTGATTTCTTTGGCTCTGATTGCCCCACAACCAGTGCCTTTCTATGATCGCTTCCTGGAGGGCATTCGAAAAATAAATTATCCCAAGAAGAGCCTTCACCTGTTCATCTACAGCAATGCAGTGCTCCACGATGAAGACACCAAGTCGTATGTGGAGAAGTACGGAGAGGAGTATGCCAGTGCCAAGTATATTCTGTCCACGGATGAACTGGACGAGCGTCAAGGAAGGCAGTTGGCTCTGTAAGTGTCCAGCAACTTTTATCCCTTCTAACTAATAGCTATTAACTATTTCTAGTGACAAAGCCCGCCTTCACAAGAGCGACTACATCTTCTACGTGGACGCCGATGCCCATATCGACGATGGTGAGGTGCTCCGCGAGCTACTCGCTTTAAACAAGTAGGTCGAGGCCATGGCCATGTACTTGTTACCCAAAATAATCGTAATCCATTGCAGACAATTTGTGGGTCCACTCTTCACCAAACACCATGAGCTTTGGAGTAACTTCTGGGGTGCTCTCTCCGAGGGAGGTTACTACGCCAGGTCTCATGATTATGTGGATATTGTTAAACGCGATCTGCTGTAAGTAAAAGGGTCTCCAGAAGAAATGAAACCAGTCTTGGATCAAAATTCAACTTTATTAGAAGCAGACATAGTTTCTAAAGTAAAAATATTTAGAATGGCCCACAGGAGCTATGCCCAAAGGATGTTTTATTGTTAGATCCTTTCCCCACATATATGTATCCATATCCATATTCGATCAGTCGAAGGCGATGGAGAAATCTGTCTTGAAACTCCGCCGATCAATAGAATACATATTGTCGGCAGTGCACTCGTATAGTCCGGCATCCATCTGGGTGGCGGGATCTATTTCGATCTTGGACTTGACCTTGTCGTCGCCGATGCGCCACTCATGGACGTGCATGTAGAGGTGCTGGTAGATTTCCGCACCGTCCTTGTACCAGGTGATGTGGGGCCGGGGATTACCCTTGGCCACGCACAGGAAGGCGATCTTGTGGCCCAACACGTACTCAAGATCAAAGTGTGAGGCTTGCAGGATTTTGGCGCCCTGTAAAGGATTTTAGAAGTTTATTATGCACTAACTATAAACTAAACACTGTTGCTAACTTTTATGGTTTTTAGTTCTCAGTTCACTCACATTATTATTGTTGTAGTACTGATCCGATTCTGGATCACGATATTTTCCTGTAATTGGCAATCCAATTTGAACCCTGGACTTGGTCCGTCCTCTTCCACGCCCACGACGCGCTTCACAAACGGGCGTGGCCAGCATTAAAAGCCCCAAACTGAGGCAGATGATCAGGCACTTGACCTGCATGACTCTCTGGGATAATAGTAATGTTTGCTTTGTTTTTTTTTAATTTTTTTTCGGGTGATGATCGTTGGAACTGGCGTGGCTGTGCGAATCTCGTCTGTTGGGCGACTGGGCGACTGATCCACACCGATCCGGACTCTGCTCCGCACTGCTCATCTAATTTTCCACAATTGTCCGGCGCACTTAATCCGGTTCATCCCAAGCACTTCGTCCATTTGGGCTCTCGCATGGTTCTCGCTTCTTGTTTTGGGATATATAGCATATATGTACATATACCCATCGCCGCATTTTCATATTTCGCTCAATTCCATTGCTTGATTGGATTTGGACGCTCGCTGATATCGCGCACGGTAGGAGCTAATGGCACCCGTTTCCTGATGTTGGTCCGGGACTCAGCCATGGAGTACAGTGGTTTTAGTGTGAATTATTTTAAACAGCTTATAGGGAGGGGTTTATTAGAAAGACTATCTTCAGAAATGGTTTAAAAATATTTAAAAATAATAACTTATATTTATTAATCATTTTATTTTCCTTTAAGTTTCTCTTATTTCAAACCACTGTGGCCCTTTGAAGGCTATTCAAAACTCAACTCTTTGAAAACCAGAAAACCTTGCTTTGCTTTCACACATTTTAATAAAATAAATGCAAAAAAATCACTTGAATTGGGTAATTGAGCCAATTTGTCGGCCTGGTGGGGAGCAACTTTATACGCAAACATTCTGACACAAAGGTCGCACGGGAATAGAATCCATTATCCAAAAATTTCCATTAAATTGAAACGCATATAGATTTAAAAAACAGCTTTTATTACGATTTATTTTTATACGATTTATTTTTAAAAACATGAGAAACTTGGCTTAAAAATTAACCATAACATAGTCCGTGCGAAAGCCACGACGATCAATGGCATAGATATTATCGGCTTGACATTCATAAAAACCTAAAATTACAAAAAATAAATTAAAATATTATTTTTTAATTTAAATCCTCTTAAAAATACATACCAGCATCCATCTGAGTGGTTGGATCTATTTCCATTTTAGATTTAACAATATTGGCCTCTTCATGAGACTCGTGGACCTGAAAAAGATTTTTCATAATTTTAGAAAATCTTAAAAAAATATTTTAAAAAGTTACCTGAAAGAAGCGATGCTGGTAGAGCTCTGCTCCATCCTTGAACCAGGTTATAGTGGGTCTAGGAATGCCTGAAATAATTTTATTTTAATATTTTAAAGATCTTTCTTATAAATAGTATCCATAGTTTACCTTGAGCCATGCAGAAGAAAGTAATTTTACGTCCCAGGGTATAATCATATTCAAAGTGTGAGGATTTTATGATTTTGGCACCCTAAAAAATAATAATTTTATAATATATGATTTTTAGGACAAGAAACATACATTTTCGTGTCCATAGTAATGGGTGGCATCCTGTGACAGGTGTTGTATAACCTCGGGCTTCTTTCCCGTGTAGTTGCGCCGCAAAACATTTTTGCCGCCGGTGCTCCCTGGGTGGCGGTGGTGTTAATAAATTAATTGCTAAAGTAAACTTTTAATTGAGTGGTTAACTCACTCTGGGCGGCTATTGGCCAGGGATCTCCTAGTAGCAGGATGCAGAGCCCGAGGAGAACGATTCGTTCGTTTAGTTGGAAAATGCCGCGCAGGCAAGGAGCCATTGTCGTTGAGCCGCAATGCCGATCGCCAACGAGGAATGTTGTTTTCTAACTGCGCTCCCGATCTGCACAGCGTGTCATCCACTCGATTACCCTGATCCATCATCCGTGCCCCCCACCCATTGCTCATCCTCAATGTTCTGATTGAATTAAAGGGGGTTTGTGGATGGGGAGCGACGTCACTTTCCATTTTCGCTACATTGTTGCAGAATCCAACATTGGACATTGAGATTATTCTGCTCTTGGCTAGCTCTCTGATCTCTTCTTTGTTTATTATGTTATATAATATGTATACTACTTTTATCCAACCGCAGTGGTATCTTCAACGTGCCCCATGTGACGAGCATCTATCTGGTGAAGAGCAGTGCCTTCGATGCCATCAGCTTCCAGCACAAGGAATTCGATCCTGACATGGCCCTGTGCGAATCTCTAAGAAATGCGGTATGATTTAGGTCCTTCTAACTAATATATCTCACTATCTTAACCATTTTGTGACCTCCAGGGCATCTTTATGTATGTTAGTAACCAGCGCTACTTCGGTCACCTGGTCAACGCAGATAACTTCAATAGTACGGTGACACGTCCGGATTTCCATACGCTGTTCAGTAACCGGTACGATTGGACCGAAAAGTACATACATCCCAACTATTCGCAGCAGTTGAATGCCACCTATCCGATACCGCAACCGTGTCCGGATGTCTTCTGGTTCCAGATCGTGACGGACGCCTTCTGCGACGATCTGGTGGCCATTATGGAGGCGCATGGCACCTGGTCGGATGGCAGCAACAGTGATGCTCGCCTGGAGGGCGGATATGAGGCGGTGCCGACGCGTGACATCCACATGAAGCAAGTGGGTCTGGAGCAGCTCTATCTCAAGTTCCTACAGATGTTTGTGCGTCCGTTGCAGGAGCGTGTCTTTACGGGCTATTACCACAATGTAGGTTTTGGCTTAAAGCTTCTAAAGGAAGTAGTAACATTTTTTCTCTATCCCTCGGTAGCCCCCCCGCTCGCTGATGAACTTTATGGTCCGCTACCGCCCTGATGAGCAGCCCTCTCTGCGTCCCCACCACGACTCCTCCACGTACACCATCAACATTGCCATGAACCGGGCCGGTATCGATTACGAGGGCGGTGGCTGCCGTTTCCTGCGCTACAACTGCTCAGTGGTGGACACCAAAAAGGGATGGATGCTGATGCATCCCGGCCGTTTAACCCACTACCATGAGGGACTACTCGTGACCGAGGGCACTCGGTACATCATGATTTCCTTCATCGATCCGTGAAGGGATCGGCTATACTCACTGCCATGTTATGGCCACTCCAAAGAACTGTATCCTACGCCCGATTTACGGAATTAGCCGAAGGAATTTTGGCGTCGGCCTTGAATTTAATATTGTTTTAAGACCGATAGCTATAATATCAATCGATGAATCTGTTAAAGCCTTAAGTTACTTTTAAGATTTTCAACCAAGTGCAAAGTGTTCAATTTTCGAATAAATAATTTAAGTCGATTATTAAGATACATTTTTGTAAGTCAATCTTTGTGGAAACAATGTTTAAAGTGTTGATTCTTCTGTGTAGCTTCCATTGACATTCAAGAATATATTTTACAATTCTTAAATGGGTTTTATTATATCGACAAAGGTACATTTATGTTGTATGATGTAAATTCGGTTGTTTCATATACAAGATTTAGAAATATAGAAAATGATCAGTAAAAGATCGGAACAATAATACCACGGATTAGCACAGGTGACCATGAGTTTAGTACAACTGTCGATTTGGTAAGTGTGTCTTGTTTTCCTGACCTGGAAAAAATATATAATAAATTTTATCCACTTTATTGGGCATTAGTACCATAGTACACTGTAAGCCGTATCACTTACGTTACAAAGTTCTTTTACGGAAGAAAACGTAGTCAGTAAAAAGCTATTTTTCTCAATTTCTTCTTTTTAATAAAAACTTCTTCTAATTTTTTTAGTTAGAAGAATTTTTTTCTTAATTTTAGTTTAGAGAATTTTTGAAAAAATTATATTTTTTTTTACAATTTTTGGAGAATGGTTTACATATTTGGTGCTTTTGTTTTCAAAATCGACGTGAACTTGTTGAAATAATTTTTAAAATTTACTTAAATGAAACAATAATGATTTATGATAATAAAGAAAATATATTTTTTTTATTTAACGACGCATACACCCCCTGAATCAGCTGTTTTTTACAGTCAAAGCAGACTTCTTAACAGAACAGCCACCCACATAATAACAGCAGTGGAGCAGCCACTGTGGAGACATGCCGGCTGTTAAGTATCGGTTACACTGCTCACAAATACTAGATTAAAGTGGTATGGTTTTACACTGAAGAAAAAAGCTATGATCAAACAATAGGGATTGGTTTTCTTGTAATTTGGTAAATTATTTAAAAAGATTATGAATATATTTTCCCACTTAAGGGAGTAGGCAAGAAAAAAAGGAATGATACTGGGCTAAAATGGAAAACCAGTTTCCCAATATATTTTAAATATTAAGTATATTTTCCTACAAATTTATATAAATTATTTTTAATTGATTTCGAAGGAAAAAAAAGAGCGGTGTATACGGGCCTGCCGACGACTGGGCGCAGCGGTTTCTTGCTCAGCTCAGCTCAGTTCCGTAGTCAGTTTTCCAGTTAGTGGACGTGTCGCGGGTCGCTACGGGCTCTCCGCCGATTTTACTGTTAGTTGCGCAAAGTGCGTGATAAAAATAGCGAAAAAACCGAAACTCCCTATTCCAGAGATAGATAGTACAAGTACATATTCTATATGCTATATATGTACTTATATATCGCATATGGTTTTGGGCAAATAAATTCCAAAAAAAAAAGAGAAATGCAAATCTAAAGGCCAACTTCAAAAAGCCGCATCCTGGAAAAGGATGTCTGTGCTAGTGCGTCCGTGTGTGTGTGTGTCCATGTGTCCATGTGTGTGTGTGTTCGTGTGTGTTTGAGATAAACAAAAAGGCGAAAGTTTGTTATTGGCTCTCGCACAGGCTCGCGCTGCCTTTCTATTTCTCTCTTCAACGTTTCTCTCTTGCTCTCACCCGCAGGACCTGGTCTCCTTCGATTTTTCTTCCGCTTTCCGCATTCCCCACCGCATGTGGCTGCTTTTCCTGTTTCATTTCCCTACATTTTTTTTTATTACTCTATTTACACTTGGCGACTCCAGGATATGTCCGTGTTTCCATGTCTTCGCCTGTATGTGTTTGTGTGTGTGTGCGGCTAAGGGCGGCTGACATCTCACACCTGCTGTTCTTGTTGTTGTTACTGTTTTTGGGCTGCTCCTGCTGGCCAAGTTTATATTTTTTTTCCAGAAGTTACGCTGGCAACCGCTCTACAAACAACAACAATAACAGTAGCGCCGCTAAAAACACACTTTCTGGGAGGAAACTTTTATTATTTTGTTCAAAATTTTAAAAATATTTTTCTTCCTCATCTCTTTTAACCATAAAAAATGGAAAGAAATCTAAAAAAAAACTTGGCCAGAAAAAGAAATACTCATTTTACCGGCACTAACCGAAAGTGAAAAGTGTGTCCTCCCCCTGGAGTTTGATGTTTGATTTTCGAGGCTTCCAGACTTCCGGGTTCCATCCCAATGGCTGAGAATGGAGGGCAATGCTCCAGGTGAGTGTGGAAATTAATTTTTAGCTTAGAAATATAAGAAATTGCTTATAAAAATAAAAAGTTTTTTGAAGAAGTGACTTTTAAAATGACAAAAACATGTCAAATATTAAAAAATAATTTGTTAAAAAAAATTTAAATGATTATTTATAAAAGTCTGTTAAAAAGAAACAGATAGAAGTAATATATCAGGTCTTAAATATACCCTTAATATAACCCTTTAGATAATATAACCCTTTAATAATTCTATAGACTTTTTTAAAACAGAGATGCAGTTCAGTTTTCAAACAAATGTTTAGTTTTTTATGTTTTTCTCCAAGAAACTTTTTAATTTTTTTTTTTAACTAATACAGTTACAAAAACACCTCTTAACACCCCATAAAGTTTTTATTTAGGTCTTGTATTTATTTCTAGTTTATTATTTCTCAAAAAAATAAATAAAAACAAGGCCTTAAATATACCCTTAATATAACCTCTTTAGATTCTATAGACTTTTTTTAAAACAGAGAAACAGTTTAGTTTTCAAACAAATATTTAATTTTTTATGTTTTTCTTCAAAAATCTTTTTAATTTTTTTTCTAAAAACCTAAAACAATTACCAAACCCATCTTAACACCTCATTTAGTTTTTATTTAGGCCTTGTATTTATTTCTAGTGTATTTTTCCGCATATGTGTGCGATTGTTTGCTGTTTTCTATTAGCGGCTTCTATAAGCTATATAGCCTTCCCCTTAACCCTCATCGTGAGCAGCTGCTAATGGCTTGTGAAAAAGTAAACGAAACGAAAAGTGGCGACCAGACCAGGTGGGGAAAAGTCGGAGGAGCTGCCACGGGGGCGTTGCTATTAAGGGAATAGAGCTAAGAGTGTGTGAAACCTGCATCACACATCTCCAAGGGAAACCATATGGTGTGGCGGCAAGTTCGAGAACTCTATTGGCTTTATAAACTTTAAAATATAAAATTACTTAAATTACTTAAAATATAAAATAATAAAGTGTCTATTATGTTTTTTCCAAGGTGGGAAAACTGAGAAATAACATACCTAGGCTTTCTAATTAATTATTTAGTATCCTTAAGGGCATTTGCATATTTTAAGTGATTTGAATTCAATGAAATATTCATATTTCTGATGTATGTATAGCACTTAAGATTTTAGTATGCATACTAAATAGTGTATGTTTCAAACTAACATATGTTTCGTTCCATTTTTTTAAAACCAAATGACGGAAATAGAAAACATGTGTTTTGGTTTTTGGCTATTTTTACCTAAAAACTCTGACCCGACCCACTGACTTGTATTAATTAAAATCCACCATATGTTTAGATGGAACTTTATGGGAATACTAAATAGGCCTCTGGGTTTTATCTCTTCTGAAGAGCCAAAGCTGGATTCTGTCGCTTAAAGTGTCGTTGGCTCTTTATGAGCCCAGGACCCTAAATCAAATTTACATCCTAGCAATCATCATAAAAGAAAGCAGCTGAGCTGGCCCCAGGCAGGTGGATAAATACGTATGTGTATGTGTACCCACTTACCTACTTCGTAGAGCTCTCCTGGTACACATATGCAAATGACGGGGCCCGTGGAGCCCTCTTTCACGCCCTCACCAGGAACCTCACCAGGATGTGCGTGCGTGCAAAATCTGCGAGTTGAGGGAAAATGATTAACAAAGGCTCCCCGAGGTGCGGCAGCAAGGAGGCGACGACGGAGACATGAGGAATTTAACAAGACATGCACTGAGAGAAAATTTTATAGATTTAAATAAAAGAAAAAGGTAGAGAATTGAGAAGGAAGTTTAAGATTTCTTGGAAGAACCTTAGTTCTTTTGAAGAAAGAAGCTCTAAAATTCGTCTCTTAAATATTGACTTTTTATATCATATATTTCTGTTTATTTATGAGCTTTATTTTTATGCTTCTAGATTATTATCCTTAGTCCTTAAATTGTGTTTGCAATTGTTTTTGTGTACACACATGAGGAATTACATCTATCATCACTGACACGGACACTAACGGCGACCGAGGAGGGGTAGTAGTCCTCGGGACATAGGCTCGGCCCCTCGGGACAGGCGCACTGCGGCTGTCAAAACAAGGCCCCAGTCCTTAAACCCCTCACCCCCTCCTCCGGCTGGCAGTGTCGCCGCCACTGTCCCGGTTAATGGCATTTGGGCTGTGCAGGATCCCCCGGCGGGGACGCAGCCCAACCGAGTAATTTGTGTCACGTTTTAATTTTTGAAGCCGCAAAGGACGCTCAAGTGCCCCCGTTCTCCGTTCTCCTAGTTGCTCCTCTGCTTTGGAGTCTCCGCCCCGTGATTATGACAATTAGGATTGCACGGCGGATTCCTTCCCCGTCATTTTGTTTCGCGTACTTAAAAAGGTTTATCCTGTAAGTCCTGCCTAGGGAGCTTTTGTGTGGCAACTTGTGCTCACATCTCATTAAAGGCAGGATTTTAACTATTTTTTTAAACTATTTTTCTTTGCAATATAATGATATCCTTTTGTAGAAATACAAAAATTAATATCTATTAACAGGATTCAGAAGCTGTTTCATTAAAAAATTCGTTACGCCCGACACCTTTTCATATTTCATAACATTTCCCGACCACATCTATCATTCATCAATCGATTGATTAACTTTTTCATGCCAACCCGGCCAAAACCAATTTTTATAAGCACATTAAAAACATGCCATCAGCGTAATTGGATAGATTTTCGCATCAATCAATTTGTGTCATAATTGCAATTGGAATATTAATTTTATGCCTGTGGAGTGTTGAGTGGTTGCCTTTTGGAGGAAGTGCGTCATCGGCCAGTCGGAAGCCATTAGCAGTGATTCCTTTTCTCGCCGAAACGCACTTCAGAAAGGAAAATCCTTCGCTCAGCGGTCTGTCAGAAAATGGGAAGCTGACTGGCAGCGGCACAAAGTTGGGAAAGCTGTTTGGACATGTCCTGCCAAAATGCGAGAGAGAGGATGTCCTGAATGCTTAAGTCAGTGTTCTGCTTTTTAAATTCTCCTTCTAAGTTCTAAGGGAAATCTTTAATAGAGAAATAGTGTAATGACTTTCGTTATTTCTTGACTCGAATTGAATTGGTTTCAAGTGGTTTCCATCATTATTGAGTAACTCTCGGAAATGTCATAGGCATGGCTTGCACTTTCCTATCCCCCACATTCTCCTGTTCAAGTCCTTTCCTTCAGCTCCAGAGCTGAATCTCGCCCGAGGCCACAAGGAAACCAACAACTGCGTAAACAGAACAGAACAGGAGCGACAAGAAGCGGACAGGACATTAACAAGAAGGGCACAAGTGATGGCTGGCAGGGGGGTAGCCGGGGGGGGAGAAGGACTTCACTTCAGTCAATTTGATAAACATGACACAGAAAGGAAAACGAGACCGCCTCACCACCCAAATACTCTATGCACTGAAATTAGTCAGTACTTGCAAGGATTTTTTTAAAATACTTTTCTTCCTATAATGCATATTTGTAAAGCAAGTACCTGGTATCATATATTTCTTAAAATATTAAGCAAAAATTATTTTTCCAAGTGCTGCCGCTGACTTGCAATTTAGTGAAGAGGTTGCCTTAATGGACACACTGTGACTGTGCTGCGGGGCATCCTTGCCAGGACATAGGGTAGGCGATAGCACAAGACACGACTGGCAATTAAATTTTTAAAATGCCATTTCAAAAGCAATTTCGAACGGCAGTGCAAATTAAAAATGCCAACTAGGTATGTGTATACGATACGATACGACGAAATAGAAACCAGACCGGAAAAAAAGGAGCATCTGTGTGGGGCTGGAGGCAGGAGGCAGGCAACCCGGCAGGATAGCGGCAATATTTTCGCAAATAAACGTAAATTGAATTTGTGGCCAAGAATGGCAAGTTTTGTGCGGCCGACCAGCACAAAATTGTCCATAAGAAACCAAACTGCAAAAGAAAGTTTTTACAACTTTGGATGGTTTTTTTTTTTGGATTTTTTTTGTGTCATCATCGAGGATATCCGGCGCCAAGTGCCGGCGCCTTTGCGGCTACTTTTTCTTTTTGGCCAACTCATGTGTTTGGCTGGATTTTCCTCTGTTTTGCTTGCGATTTTCGCAGCTCAGCTGTTGTCTGTCCCGACTTTCCACCTCCCTGGGAAAAATGCAATTTTAACAGGCTCTCTCCCCGGGCCAGCACTTGAACTCCTTCTTGGCCTTCCCCCTCCAAGCCATCACTATTATGGACTTTTATTTTGGCCGCATTGCCATTTTTCACATTGTTTTTTGCCACTCTTCTGGTCTTGCCTTGTAATTTAATTGGCAATTTGGACAGTTTTTCACTTTCCAGCTGCACTGCACTTTCCTCATCCATTTTGGCCACCAGCCATGAACTTCGTCTTCGTCTGGCGCAATCTCGATTTTTACCCAAAAAACCCGAAATGAAAACATTGTTCTTATTCGTTCTCCCTTTGGCAATTTCACCAAGGATGGATGGATGGAATCTTTTGTAAACTCAATTTGATTATGCACTGGACACAGCAGACCAGATTGCAGGACATACATATCCTTTCTTTGAAATAAATTACAAAAAAAAAAAAATGGGAGATAAAGGGCTAACTACATTTTGAAGAGGTAATGGAATACAAACATGACAGAGATTTGATTTTGACAGAGATTGCAGTTTCGAGGAAAAAATATTTAAGGTTCTTTTGTGATCTATAGAGCTTTATTTTTGAAGGAGAAATGATGACAGCTACCGATCGATCGGTTTTGGATTTCTTTTTATCAATTTTCATTATTCAATTGCTAAAAATGTAGCACCCACACCTCTAATTCTCTATAATTTGTTGTTGAAAATTGAAACCTCCGTGCTGAAATTCAAAAAACTTTAATTTGTAACATGGTCTGGTGACGCAATCGTTGTGTAATTATTTTTTTTTTGCAATTTATACTACAACTTGCTACTTCCGGTTTGTCATCTTTTAGCTAAGAAAATCTAAAATGAAAAAAAAAATGGAACAAATCCAAGA